TGGAAGAGGCGAGACAGGGTTGCGTGATTGTTTATTGAACAGGCGCAGACAGGGTAGGTACTGGTAACTTGAGAGACGTTGTCATGGCTTGTGAGAGTGGAGACAGAGGTTACGAAAACGTATAACAAGTATCGTGAGGCGAACTACTATACCTACGTATACCATGTAGATAGATACCTGATACTCACTCCACCACCACCGGACCTCCGAGGAACAGATGTCGTCAAGATAGAACATATGCACCGGTACCCCAACCGTATCTTGCAAGAATCGGGAGACCGGTCATTGACCCTCAACAACGACGACGTCAATGATTGTCACAAGCCTTAACGGCAGTAGTTATAGACACTTGATCAAGATAAACATAAGAAACCAAACCGCAGCAGCAGCAGAAGCCCTTTCTTTCCATCTGAACGGCCGATCTTGCAGGACGTGATGGAGAGATGAGATGTCATGAAGCTTGGTATAACTTGCATAGGTCACATTTCCTTTTTCACTGGCGGAGATTGGTTGGCTGGCATGTTTGGTGGTAAACAAATAAACGAAATTAAAAAAGTGTCTGGATCCGATATGATACAGTAAATAGTAAATAGATACACATATCCGAATCCGGCCGGGGGCGCTCGAGAGATTGTTTCTGTTCTGTAACTTCTGTTTCCGGTGAGTGTGCTTAATTGGTTGGGTTCCACGAATAAACCTAAACCTATTTTGCGAAACAAATATATCTGTGGGATGTACCGGTACAAGTGCATGTACAAGCCACTCTACAGAATACAAATAGAAATGGAAACACACACACACACACACACACACTTCCACATCGATTTGTAACCTCCGGACCACCAAACATTCTCATAATAGAAACCGCACGCGTGGGGGGGATAGAGGTCGCACCCTTGCCTCGGAGGATAAGTTTTACAGGGTAGAGGAACGACTGCCAATGCCAAGGATATTATACCACCTACAGATGTTTGGCGGGATATGGCAATGCACTAACTGTGATGGGTTGAGCACTCTAGATAAGTAGAGCGAGATTGGGTGGTGGCATGGGTATGTATATCTCAATGATCTGCGACTCGGCGATCCATATAAGTGTCATGTAGCTACAGTACCGTATGTAGCAGCTTCATTTCATTGTTTCGGAGAGATCTTCATTTTCTGCTGGTTTGGATTTATTAATTGGTCGGCCCCCAATTAGTGGGGTTGGGTGCAAACGGCCACCTGCTCATGAGAGAGATAATATCGCGGGTTGTGTTTGAAATTCGTGAGGCGAGGGACGGAGAGTGGTGAGTGAGCCTAGCTGCTAGGGAGAGAGTGAAATAGAGTTCCGTATCCCGGTGGAGACATAGAGTATCTGTAATCTCTATGTGGCATGTAGGATGGATGGGGAGTTAATTTAATTTTGGGGCTTTGAGTTCGACTCCAGCCACAGTGTGGTGGGAGTGTAGTATTGGTGGATTTGATATGCCCGATTTGAGGATAATAGTGTGAAGGTTTTATTCATACCATACTCTGGGTACTCTATGTAGGTACCGGTAAGTTCATGTAGAGTAACTACTCTACTCTAGAGCATGGGCTTTTTATGTAGGTAGAGTTATAATTATGCACATAACGGCAGCATACTACATCATAGACTACAGTCCGCATTTCACCCCATTTGCGTGTCGGGTATTAGCGAAGCCCACCCCCCCAAAAAAGAAGACGTTAAACGTCTTTCTCGACGTTCGTCCAGTAGGTGTAGTTGAGAGGGGATGGTGGATGATATGATACTCGTCAGATTATCACTTACTCACCGAAGGTCTCATGACTATTGGTTCCAGTACGAATAAACAAAAAAGAACCCACAAACAAGTTTCGACGGAACGGCCTGGCCGCGCTTGCTCGCTGCACCGTGTTCATCCGACTTACTGGCTAGGGCGACCAATGATATCTCGACGAACAAACGAGGAAACACCCTGAAGGGTTCGTCGTGTTCGGAACTCGGCCATCATGAGAGAAGTGAGAGAGAGATGGACCATGGCTTACCCTGTGATTCGTTTCGTTTAGGTATGTAATGTAGGTAGAGAGGATTTTTTGTTTATTTCTCGCATTTGTCACCTTATGGGGGTTTTTTGCTACTCGTGCGGTTGTTTAGGGCAGGTGGTGGGCGGGGATGGGGAGTGGAGGAGCGGAGGAGGAGGGGGAGGTTCGTTGGATTAAATTGATTTTTCCCTTCATTTTTCCTATATCTTTCTTTTCTTTGGTCGCTCTGCAATGCCCTATGGATTGGTAGCTTCTTATGTAGGTATATCCTCCTCTCCTCTACAATTCTACTTACTCTACTGTGTTGCAGCATCTTCACACCACCACTACAGTATGTACTGGCATGTAACCTTAAGGGTGCCTCCCCTGCACTGTGCGTCAATGCATTAGAAAATTTTGCAATCTACATGCAACAGTCTGAAGTCGAGAGCTATGATGGATGTGGCGCGTGGGAGGCAAAAAAAATATTGGGTTCTCACTGTCGTAGCGGGATCAATTGGGGTGTGTAGGAAGAGAGCGAGAGTGCGCAGGCAGTTGATTGCTGGGGGTCAGATAAACCTAGTCCTAGTTTGACGTCTCTGCTGACTGCTCATATGACATGGATAATGTTTGACGAGGTCTAGCTCGCCCTCCCTCCCTCCAACGAGTTGAGAGTTGAGGAGCTGAGTTCGGGGAGGAGTAGGAGGAGGAGGGGAAAGAGGGGGGGGGGGGGGTGGGCGACAAAGGCGGGCTTGCGAAGCGGTGGTAGTAGGTGGTTGTCACGGAAACGGGGGGATGAAAGCTGGGGAGGGACAAGCCGATGATCATAAAGGGTATCCGACTGGTCCATTCCAACGGACGCTTGCCACGTCGACAGCGGATGTCAATGAGGGCAGGTACCGCCTGTAGAGAGTACTGTATGTACCGTAGAGTACCTTACGCCTAGTATGTACGATGTAAGTACGTACCTACTTCTGCCTGCCTGCCTCCATTATTAGCTATGCGGTTCTGAGAAGGAATAATCTCCCACTGCATCTGAAAATTTCCTTTCTGATGCCGTGAGCAGGTAGGTAACCCAACCCCCCACACCCATCCGGGCGTCCTTTTGCCTTTTGTTGAGAGATCTCGTTTCTGAAGAATTTACTTGCCATATGGGCCATTTTACGCGCTGCACGACGGGTTTTATTATTTTATTTTTACCCTTTTTTCAAAATGGTTATGGGCCGCTTAAAAAAATTTATTTTTTTATTTTTGACTTTCCGTATGTAAAAATCGATTGAATGAGAAACCTCAGTCACTAAATGTGAATTATCATTTCCATCCCCTCGCTCCCCCCAGTTCAACGTCGTCATCAAGACCGTTTTTAACCACAACCACCCCAGCAACACTTGCAACTATGTGTGCTGATATTCTTCGTGTTCCCTCATTCTCAAACCTCGTCAAGGGCCCGGTTTTGGACAAGTCTCGAAAGTACTCCGGCCAGCAGCAGGAGAGGTGGTTGAGGTTGCACTTTCCCTTGCACTTTCCCTGTTCTGGTCTCACCGGCCTTGAACCACACAACCGCGCGCAGTTCTGCTGTCTGCTGTGGATGGTCAACCCACACAGCTAAAGTAGCAGGAAGGAAGGTATGTAGGCAAGCAGCCCCGTTTTCTGGATTCGCATGGGAGATATGTAGCACACACAGTTCAAGCCTCAATTACCACTGTCCGATTCGTGGACGATCCAAGACTTTTTTTTCCTCCCCTCTCTGTCTTTAGTTCTCACTCCCCACACCCCCGTCCTCACGAAAAGAGGAAGGGAAACCAGACCCTTTCAACTGCACTACCCCACATCCCATTGGACGCTGGGCGTGGAGCGGTTCCCTGGTTGGGTTGTCGAGTGACTAGAGACACACAAGGGCGTGAACGAAACAACGCATCCACTGGTGAAATCAAGCAGGCCATCAAGAGTAGGCAGTTTGAAGCAAGCACTCCACCTTTCTCTCTTTTTTTTGCTCAGCAAATTATTATCACTGGACTCTTTTAATTGATTTATTACCCACCTGTGCCCGCACGGTCCCCGCACGTATGTATGAAGGGCATGTAGAGTAAGAGAAAAAAAAACTGCCCTGCTTTGTCTGGTTCTACAATTTTTTTCAATCGTCGTCACTTTTCCGCAGGTGATGCGTACTTTCTTTCACAACCTATCCCCTCCTCTTCTTACTGTCTACTACTCCTCCGTCCCCTCTCCTGCTTTCCCTCCAAGTGAATGCATCACTCACACATCTTCCTATTCCCTCCGTATCCGCCCTTCCACTGCAACTACTACCCTAGAGTTACTACTACTACCAATCCCACCCCATAACCCCTGTCAATTCTTTGGGTGGATCTTTAAGCGACTACTTTTGTAGACCCTCTCTCCCCTCCCACTAAACTACTCCCCATTATTACTACCTACCTTACCTATCCCCCTTCGCCTCTTCTTGCAGTTGGAATCCCCTTCCAGTTCCAGAAGCCCCAAGGTTACTGTCCTTAAGGAAGCCACATCCCATCTTCCTCCTGCGACCCATCGTCGTTTATAACTAGTCCAATCCCCCTCCACCACCCCCCCCTCCAACTGCTTGCTCTCACTGGATCTTGCAACCCAACCCACCACCCATATCCAAACACAGCACACCCTCTTCAATCATCGCCCATAGACATCACCGATACGTTCCCTTATCGGTCTGGCTGCTTGTTTGATTGCTTGGATTCATTGTTTCTACCTCGACTACAGCAGCAGCAGCAGCCGTCCGTGTACCATATTATATCCATCCATCGTCCCCCACCCCTCGCATCTCTAATCGATATCGTTGACGATACCGATACCGAGTCACCGTTATCAGTTTATCAAAATAGCCTATCCCATCCACCTCGCGTAGTTAGTATAATATTAAAGTTCTATCCTTTCCCCCCCCCCACAGCAGCAGCAACCCTTCTCATCTACCATCGAACTAGCTCCAATAGCTCAGATCTTTACCAATGGCTGTATATGAGGAACCCTATGTCGAGGACTACAACTCGGAGCTGTCTGAGGCCATCCCTCTGACAAGACGACAAACAACAAAGCGTGCTTCGGGTTTGTCAAACTCGATATCTGCTGATTCAACCAGCTATGAGCCAGAGAGTACAAATGTGTCGGATTCTGGATACTCATCACACGCTGAGGCCAGCACCCCAGGAGAGACTCCTCCACCCAAATCAGCAACACCAAGTACCCCATCAAGGAACCAAGCTCGACCCAGCCGCTCCCCATCAAATCCAGCACTCCCGGCATTCACTAGATCTTCAAGCAAGTCCTTCTCTCGTGCCCAGGCATCGGCGGGAACCGTCCCGCGGAACATCCCAAGCAGCTACAACACGGTGAGGAGGGAATACAGGGAGAGCTCGCCGTCAACGTCGACCGGTGGTGCGGATGATTGCGATTGTGCGGATTGTGGAAAGCCTTCAAAGCCTGTGACTAGCTCCCCAAGTAGAAACAGTGGTGCCTGGCCTGCTAGTGTCCCAGAGCACCCGTACCATGCTACGTACTCTTCATCGCCCTCGTCTTCTTCGTATGCTTCTTACCCGTATCCGTCAAAGTACGATTCAAAGTACGATTCAAAGTACGATTCAAAGTACGATTCAACGTACGATGCAAAGTACGATGCAAAGTACGATGCAAAGTACGATGCAAAGTACGATTCAAAGTACGATGGTTACAGCGAGAGTGCCCCAACCCACGCTCCGTATGCCACTGATCCTCGTGAAAGTTCGTCAAGAAGGGAAAGGTCGTCGACACAGTCAGCGATGCCTCCTCCCCCGAGACCATTGTCGACTTTTGCAGGCGCTTCAGCAACAACATCTTCGCACAGCCCAAGTGGATCGTGGTCGCAATCCACCTACAGCAGCTCTGGATATGTTGGACACTCCTCATCACCAGTTCCAGCGGCGCCGGCCCCATCATCAACATGCCCACCAACGTACTCGTCCTCGATGTATCCTCCTCCTCCGATAGACACATCTGTGCATTCTTCATCCCACTCATACGACTACTCGCCCTATGCTCCTCCGTCAGCATCTGCTGCTACATATGGACATTCTTACACTCCTGACCCATACAGCCAGAGCCCAGTTCCACCGGCACCAAACTACTACCAGGAGCCCAGTTACCACTCGGACAGCCACCACTCGGACAGCTACCATTCTGACAGCTACCACCAGCCTGAGTATAGCTCCCTGCCGCCTCCACCCGCGTTTACGGGCCGTAGAGGTAGCATGCGTGCCTCGGCAAGTGCAGCTGTGCTCGACTCCAGCGAGTACTACACCCAGCCAGAATACACTCACCCACAGGTAGCGCAGCACCGCGAGCGCCGCTCAAGTAACCGTGTCCACAGTTCCGAGAGGCCCTCGTCATGGTACAGCCAGTCACAGTTCCAGGATGTTCCCAGCAGAAGCGTTTCCGTTCCTCCGGCCCAGTCAGATCCTCAGGCCGCTCAGACATCGAGCCGTAGAATGGCAACGCCGCAGCCGATTAGGAGAAGGGACAGCAGCAACTCGCAGGGATCGGGCTCGCACTCGTCGAGACTCCCGTCGTCGCTTTCTCGCTCGATGGAGACTTGTGCTATTGATGATGAGCCGCCTTCACGTTCATCACGCCATGGCCACAGCCATCACCGTAGCAGTGGGTACTATGAGCATCATCAGCATAGTGCTGTCACTCGTAGGGATGCGGGGACTTTGATGCAGAATAGCCACAGCAACCGTAGCAGCGACTCGGGAAGCAGTGGGTACAGCCATGATAGTGGAAGGGAGGAGCTGGTTGTTCTGGATTCGGATGAGCCGTTCACTATGAGGTACCCGGCGGGCGTGCCGGTCAAGTTGTCGCTTAATGGTGGCCACTCTCCGAGGACAATCTCTGTGGGAAACAAGAACGAGAACTTTGAGTATTCAATAGGATACAAGTACGTCCAGCAGAGGCAGCAGCAGTTGCATGCTCAGCTGAGTGGGGGAACTGATCACTATGATCGCCGGACAACCAGCGCGGATTATTCACATAGGAGTTATGAGCGCCAGAGAGTTTAGGATTTTATGACTGTTGGATGATTTATATGAGGGAAACAGGAAGAGCATCGGGGTTTGCTCGCTTTTTTTTTATGTCCGGTTTTTGACGATATGACTGTTCTTATATATCTCCTATGTTTTTGGGCGGCTGGTATTTGTTTTATATTTTCTTTTTCTTTCCTTTGTTCGATAAGATCATCGGACTCATACTTGACTCATTTTGACACCTTGGGGTGGCGATTAATCCTCTTTTCGGCAAGGTTATCTTGTCTTCCCTTCCCTTCGCTTTTTACAACTATTATTACTAGGGGGAAGCAAAAAAGGAAACAGGACTTGGCGGCACTTCCTGTGTTTGTTTATTATGTTTTTATATCTTTTTTCGGCCTTTATTTTTTCCCTTTCTTCTCTTACTTTCTCCTTACGGTTTTTTGGCGAAAAGAACGCGGTTTCTTTAGCCCGGGGGACCTGGGTACTGGGTTGGGCGCGGTTTCTGGCTGGGTTTTTTCTTTCCGATATACCTTTCGTGTACTTTTTTTTTTTCTCCCCCCGCCCTCAATCCTCCTCCCCGTTTTCTTCCTCTTTGGATATTCCTCAGCAATAGTGCGAGGGTTGAAGAGGGGGACGAGAGGGTTTGGGGGCGGGGGTGGGGGGGGAGTTTTACGATTTGGTCTGTTTTTTGATATCAACCACATTTTATTTTACTTTCTTATATTCCAATATGTGGCCGCAGCAGAAAGAATGCAAGGAAGGAGTTTAATGAAACTGCCCTGGAACGCATCTTGGCTTTGTGTTTTTCTCTCTAGATGGGCTTCGCGGTGCGGGTTGCTTGTACTTTCTTACTACTTACTTACTACTACTACTATTATATTGGAACGGCCCCCCCCCCCCCCCCAAACCAGCTTGGAGAGGGGGACAGAGCCGGGAAGGAGGGCCTGGGGAATCCTTTCGAAAACAAAAAAAATCGGGGAGAAAAGACCGGAGAGGAAAAAAAAGATTGGGGATTGTTTTTTTTTTTTCGAGTCGCTCGTTTGGTAGCCTTTGTTTTATCTCTTTTTTTTTTTTAGTCACGGGTGTGGGATTAATGATCTGATCACGCTTTTAACGCTTAACGCTTAACGTTTTTTTGATGAATGTTATGGATGTCATGTCAATCAATTATTATTATTATTATTATTATTTTATTAAGCTTTTTGGACCGTGCTGTGGGCTCTGTGCGCGCTTGCCTTGGGTTGCTAGTTACATGGTGATTTACATTAGCACTAGGTACTATAGCTCTAGCTCTAGAGTAGGCAGAGGATCATGGAGGGGAGTTAAGCTTTCAGGGTGACGGTGACCGGTGGCGGTGATCATGTTAGTTACATATGTAAATACAAATACCTAGGCAGCGAGTGACATGTCGAGGCTTGGGGCGGTGATCCGGTTTTTCGGGCGGCCCTATCATTTCCAGTAGCTTTTTGGGGGTACATGGCCCAGAAACCCTTAATGCAGATGTAAAGTATATGTAGTGTGGTGTTACTCTACTGCCTCCGTTACACAGGTACCACCTCGCCGCCCAGATCAACGTCATGAAACAGAGCTCGGGGTTTATAGAAGTTGTATGGGTGCTTGGCCTTGCATGGCCTATATCTACTGATGTAGGTACTGTAGCTGATCTGCATCCGTACCTCTAGATACTACGTAAACGCTGTTTCTGCTGTTTGGTGGAGCGTTGTGAGTAATTGTAATTGTAACTAATCTGTAATTAATTGCGTTACTGCTGTCGTCTTGTCTTGTCTTGTCTTGTAGGTAAGTAGGGAGGTGCTGTTTGAACATGTTGCAGATGTTTGTCTTGGACCTTGAGGTACTGTGTCATATCACTAACCTGCGCATACATATCTCTCCGACGTAGGTATTCACATACCTCAATTCACGCACTCACCTCACCTCACCTCACCTACCAGCTCCTCCTCCTCCTGGAATCCCCGCTCTGTATGCGCACGTATTATAACCGCAACCGCAACCGCCGTGTTGTGTTGTTTCATTATATTAACTTTTGTTTTGCTCACCTGCTTACCTAGCTGCCTAGCTACTAGCTTGCTAGCTAGCTATCCAAACTGCAAACACAAACACAATCCACCCATTGGGCCTGGGCACATTACAATACTAGCCGGTGAATCACCACCCACTGGCATTCACCTACGGCGGAAACAATTGTTCCCGCCGGCGCTACGCTGCGTCGACCGCCCACCCACTCACACACTCATCCAGCTACTAGTGGTGGTTGGTCGTAGTGGTGGTGGTTGAGGTGTTTTTTTTTTTCTTTCCGGCGTGGCATGTCATTGACACCTCTCAACTCCCCTCCTCTACCAACACTCCATCATGGCCTCATCTCACGTGCAGCCCTTACTGCAGATCTGCCCGCCTTGCACACCCCCTGGCGAGCGAATGGCTGCCCGCCGAGATTCTGGATTGGCGGTTTTGGGGTGGTACGGTCGGGGACGCGACCCGCGAACTGAATCCTGGGTTGGGGGTTGCATTGGTGCTGGGGGATTGCGGTCTGGACTGGCGGCGCATCTGGTGGTATGCAGAGTAGCCAGAGCTGGATGGGTACTGGTACTGGTACCGCTGGTGGTGGTTAGTGGGTAGGTACTGCTGGATGGGTACTGCTGGTGCTGGATGGGTTGGTTTGGTGGTGGACCTATCGCTATGAGGACTGTGGATCCGGAAGAGGTCCCTTTTTTTTTCCTTCTTTTTTTTTCTTTCTTTTTTCTTGCTTTGTCGTGGGATGAGAGCTGGGTTTGGGATGGGGTGGATGGGTGCGGTGGGGTGGGTGCGGTGGGCGTTTGAGAATCTACCCCGTATCATGTAAGTACCCTAGGTAGATTGTATGTATGCGGGTAATTAGAGTACTTGGGTAGAGTATGTTGAGTAGCTTACATAGCTGGTAGAGGAGAGGAGAGGAGAGAAGAGTGCTGTTCTGGAAGATCTGCAGCTGGATTATCCATCCCGCCACGTGTAGTTTAGCAAGGTGGGTAGAATAGAGTAGCTGGTAGAATACAGTAGAGTGCCCAGAGTAGGATGGTGTGGTGTGCAGGCAGATGTGGAGTGCAGACTGTAGGTACTCTGCTGGTGGATGGGTAATGTTGGGGTACATGGCAGCATGTAGGTGTCTATTCGTAGAGTGCTCTAGAAGATACTCGAGAGTAGAGTAGAGTATATAGATTGCGGAATTGGGTAGGTGTGAGTAGAGTATGTAGGAGTACATATATAGATGGAATTGGGTATGTGCAGCAGAGAAGATGCTGATCTGCTCTGATCTGCTCTACTTGGGATTGACAGAGTGGCCGTTTGATAGAGCTCTACTGTGCACTGCTCGAGTGATGAGCCGTGGAGTATGTACTCTACTCTACTCTAGACTACCATCCCTACTCCCCACAGATCTACATACTCCGGATCTACATCTACATGTATGTAGATACTCTACCGTTTCCGTTTTGCTAATACCTCTAGGTACTCTGCTCTGCTCTACTGACTCAACTCTACATACCTACTCTACCTACCCACCACGTACTCCCCTTCTAGGTACTCCCCCATTCACGGTTCACCAGAAAGACAGCACAGCACAGCACATAGACTCTCAACGCCATTCACGCCCCAACAAGCAGCCACATCACATCCACATCTCCTCTACTCTCCCCTGGGCCAATACGCCAATTCCCATCGCCTTCCGCGCATATCCCATATATCCGAAATAGGCATCGATACACCTACCTACCCACAGCACAGTAATCATTCCCGCCGAGTGCACACCCCCGAAACAGCCACCACCACCACCACCGCGTAGAGTGCCGGCCGAGGATATCATATCTCGGAACGCTGTTGTTCCTTTCTTTTCTTTCTTTCTGTGGAGGAGGAGCAGCATGCATATCCCATCCCATCCCATCCCATGCTGTACGTGTGCCGTGCCATGCTGTGCCATGCCATTGAGTCGAATCGAGTCGTGGCGAACCGGAAAAATGAAAAAAAGGGCAATGGAAGAGAAAAAAAGGGGGGGAGAGCCGGCATATGTAGTGTAATGCAATGTACATACAGCATTGAAGAAATATAAAAAAAGGAAAAAAAGAAGACAAAAGAAAAGCTCCACCGCGCTCTAGTACCCCGGTGGATTGACCCTCTGACTGACCCGCGTCCATTTCGGCACCTCTGTTGATAATCACACACCCGTTAGCCACCGTCACAACCATCCCGTCTCACCCCCCGTCCCCCTCATCCCCGCCCCTCGTCCCCGCCAACCACCACCGCCACACCACCCCCAACCAAGACAAAACACAAGAAAGGTAAGCCACTCACTATGCACCCCCTTCCGGTACTTCTTCGCATTGCGGTCAAACAGCGTATACTTGTCGCGCGGCTCCATCTCGGCCTCCGTCGGCATCTCCATCTTCCACCGCTCGACGGCCGCCGCAGTCATGCCCTGCTTTGCGAGCGCATTGTCGACGCACTCGACGAGGCGGTCCACGCGGCGCAGGCGCTGGCGGTGACGGTACTTTTGCATGCTCGACATGCGCCAGGGGATTTTCCTGTTGGTGGTGGGGGGGTTAGTGGGTGGTTTTTGTGCAGGCGGGGAGGAGGGAGAGGAGAGGGGGTACCAGAGGAGACCGCCGCTCAGTGGCTGCGTGGGGCGGAGGAAACCGAACATTGTGTTGGGATTGGAGAGAGGTGGGAGGTGGGAGATGGGTGAGTGGTGGGAGTGGTGAGAATTGACGTTGGAGGTGAGGTTGAGTTTGGTCTGGTTTGGTTTGGCTTGTGGGTTGGGTAACTTGAGGCTCTGGCGACCCCACTACACAATGATTACATAAGTCATGCACTTTCTTTTTATCGTGGGGGAGTTTGTGAAAAAAATATATATATCTCCAACCCCGCCACCATCGCCCACCACCAATAGATTAATCAATTCCTCTACAGACACCACCCCCCTCCCCCCCCTCTCCGCACCTATATATACACACAGAGATACAGATACAGAGCGCCGGGGAATGACCTCGCCGTAACAAACTAGTGTTTAATTGCTGGCTAATATACTCTCATTAGTCAGGCACTCTTTGAGTAGCACGCATGCGTCCCCGTCGCTCAGGTCACCGTTTATGCGTCGCGCGATACAGAGCACCGTCTCCCGGCGGCCACCACTCCTCCCCACGCGGCCGTTACTGAGGAACACCACCACTACCACTATTATTACTACTACTACTACTACTACTTCTACTACAACTACAGCCATAGTTGGCACTAATGGCTGGAGATCCTATGCAAGTAGCGTGAGCGGGAACGGCGGCAGCAGCAGCGACGGGAAGCAGAACAAGATGATCAACGACGAGCGGTGGAAGAAGCCCTCTCGAGTCAACTGGGACGGCTTCCGGAAGACCAACAAGCACTTCAAACCCCGCGGCAAGTCCCAAAAGAAGGGACAGAAGCAACAGGAGGAGGAGAAGGAGGAGAAGGAGAAGACGCCCCCGGAGGTGGAGGTGATACGCACGCTGGCCGACACAGAGTTGTCGTTTGAGCAGTGGCAGCAGATCAACGAGCGCATCGCCAGCTTCTCGCAGCTGCTCGACGAGTCGTCTGTTGCGCCGCCAGAGTCGCTGGGCAAGAACAGACTGGTGGACACGGCCGAGTACTGCACGAACATAAAGCTCTGGCAGATCCTGCTCAAATTCCGGCGCCGCCTGTATGAAGACGCGGGGGTGCGCGAGATCTGGGATGGCCTGCGGCTGCGGAGGATGGACCTGCCGACGGAGGGGGCGAGTGCGGATGAGCTGTGGGATGTGTTTTTGCGCTCGGCCGCGAGGGACGATGCATTCATGGATGTTGTGTGGGGGTATATACAGGAGCTTGATACCCGCGCCGGGAGGGCCTGGAACGGCGTCTACGATGCTGTTGTCGGTCGCTATCTCGTCACCGACCCGGTGAAGGCTAGAAAGTGGCACTACAACCTATGCAAGCGGCATGCCTCCAGATCGCTGCCTGAGCTGTTTGCGGAGGTGCTGGCCCTCAACCCGGACGCCCACCCGTACCTGCGCATCATCCATGCAACGACAAAGAAGCCGGCGGGCGTGTACACCACCATGATCCCGTCGCTGTGTAAGCTTGCGCTGCACCCTGAGGCCGTGCGGTGGCACCAGCACTGTCTGTCGTTTGACGACCTGCCCGAGGATACCAGTGCGGCGGACGAGCTGGTGTCGTGGGTGGCAAGGTACGGGACCATCAACGAGCTGCACCAGCTTATGTATTCGTTTGTAAAAATGAACGTGCCCATGAGGGAGAGCACGCTGACAAGTATCATTCTTGCGCGCCCGGACAAGATGGAGGCGCTGCGGTTCATCCTGGCCCGGTCGAACGAGTTTGACACGAAAGCCATGGGGGATCACTTTTGGGCCCAGGTCATCTCGAAGCACAATATTGACAAGGAGGATGTGTATCGGTATCTGTGCACGTTTGCCGTGGGACTGACTGTCGGCCGGCATACGGTCGAGGCGGCGGCGAAGAGGTTCGACATCGCGGAGGACAAGGCGGTCTGGCTGCTGACCGAGATTGGCATCAAGATCCTCGAAGGTGATCTCATGCCGCTGGACGTCAGTGAAGATGAACCAGAGCAATCTCCAATGTATAGAGATCCCACCGCGTACCGGCACCCACGGAACATGGCCGAGCTCTCGAAAGCTCTCCAGAGCCTAATCAAAGCAAAAGACTGGCAGTCCTTCGACGAGCTCCTGTCCAGGCCCCTGCCCGGCCCGCCCGACGCAGCGCTCAGCAACGTCCTCCTGCAGTCGGACCTTTCGCGCGGCCGCCTACAGGAAGCCCTCCACAGGTTCGAGCAGATGCGTCTCTCCTCGACCCTGATCTCCACGCCCTCCATCCAGCTACTAATCTCGACCCTCCTACGCCCCCGCCGCCGCGGCCACTACCCAAATGTCCAGCCATGGTACATCGAGGACGACACCTTTCTCGTCATGGGCCTGCTCTTCTCCCTCCTCCGCAGCGAGGTCACAAAGGTCGAGCCCCACCTCTGGGAAGAGATCTTCAAGCGCCTGGGCATGATGCGCCGCCTGGAGGACATCGAGACGCTCGCATTCGCACTCCTGGACTGGTACCACCCCACGCGCGCACCCGACACCCGCCGCCGCTACGCAACCGCCATCACCCCGCCGCCCAGACCGCGCCCGCAGACCGTCGCGGAGCTCGTCGCCGACGCTCCAGCGGCCCAGAAGAAACTAACACCGATCCGCCCCACGGAGGTGGCAGACATCAGCCGCCACAACCCCCTCAGGATCATATTCGACCATCATTTCTTCCAGTCTATCGTCGAGTGGGGCTTCCTCACGTACCGTGTCTACAACCCGGAGAAAATGCCGCTCATACCGCGGCCCCCGTCGGCGTTTGTGAGGCGCCTGCCGAAGCGCTACAAAGAATGGAACAGCTGCGTCCCCGTGTTTACGTGGGGTATTGAGCTGGCGCGCCGGCTGAGAGAGGAGGGCGTGTATGTGGACCCGCGGGTGATTCAGCGCGCGCTCCGCGTGCGGCTTGCGCCAGTGTTTCGGCCGGCGGATGCGCTGGAGACGCCGCTGAAGAGTAATCAGCTTGGTGCGGCGCTGCTGGGGTATTTGGATCTGGAGCAGATCATGAAGGTGGTGAAGAAGGCGTGGGGTAAGAGGCTGTATGAGGTTAGGATAGGCTGGGATAGGCATATAGTGCCGAATAGGAGGCTGTGTGAGTGTGGGAAGGAGATGTTTGTGGTGGAGGATGGGGAGAGGCAGAAGAGGGAGAGGGCGAAGAAGGAGGCGTCGATGAGGGCGCAGGTGGTGGGGACGGCGAGTCCGGAGGGGGTGATACTGAGGAGGATGAGGAGGGATGGGGGTGCGGGGGAGATGACGGGAGGGCAGAGGAGGGATACGAGGGTGGGGGAGGTACCAAGATGGCGGAAGAGGGATGAGAGGGTGGGTGAAGTGACGAAGGGGCAGAGGAGTAGATAGGGAGGAGGGAGCTCTAATTTGTATATATTGACCTTTTTTTCTCAGTTCTTCTTTTGACGCAGGGACAGGGTCCTAGTAGCTTTTCCTGTATTATATCCATATCCTTTTGGGGTTTTTCGTGATCAAGTTCTTTCTGTCAGGTGCATGCATTGGTCTCGAGAAGATTTCTCTGGCTCTTTCCCTCCATTGCTTGGACGATTGGAGATTAATCAATTGAAGGATTGAAGGATTGAAGGATGAGAAGAATGGTGATAGAGATGAAACAGGTCGTCGTAGCTTAACTTAGAGTTCCCAAGCAAACACACATTAGTATATCTTTATCTTCATTGGTTACAACCACGTAGCTGTTGTAAGGGGGTTTGACACATAATGTGCTAATGATCTGGCCTACATGTAGCTCTGGTGATCGACTGGTGGTTCTGCAAAGCGTAGAAATATATGTGCCTAGCTCTTAAACATATACGTTTTCTCCCCTCACTTATTTCATCTTCTCCATCTGAATACTTATGGCAGACGGGTGCTAAATGGTGTCCCTTTACCCTCTTGTCTCTGTCTTGTCTCATCCATTACAGGCGAATCTCCTTTATAATTATAAGGGCACAAGTGGGTGGCCCGTATATAGGTTCGTGGTTGCAGGGTTAGGTGTCCACCCAGCCCGCTCTACCCTCACTCCCTTAAGTATTACTTCCCGGCCATTGACAGTTATGCGGCGAGTAGTCTAGTGGTAGACTCCTCGTCTTGCTACACCGCGTGGGTTGAGCCTGAGCCACCATGACCGTCCCTTACCGGAAGGTCATGGGTTCAACCGTGAGAGCCTGTAGACGGTAAGAGGCGGATGGCCCCAAGAATTACTTTTTGTGTATTTATTGCCCGTTTTTTTTTTTTTCCTCCTGGGCATGTGTGATATCGATTGGAGCTCTAGAGCTCTGGCCGGCCTACAATTGCAGATTGAACTATCTTAGCTTCTCGCTCATTATTTTGGCCAGTATGTCTCCCCCATGTCGGGGCCTATAGGTCTTTCAGGCCATATTCTTTGATGAAGGATTGACAATGATCGAGGTTGTAGGTACACATAGGACGGAAGGTTATCAGGGTTAGGGTTAATATCTAAAAAAGAACCCCTTGCCCTCGTTTCTCTATCAGTCCCAATCGAAATAATCGAAGGAGCCATTTTCTACTGAACGCAGTTCTTGTTTGTTCTATGCTTGAGTTCCCGCAAACTATATAAAACGCTAGCTACAGAGTTCTATATTCCAAGGAAATGGCTCCACCTTTCAGGAAGAGAACGAAGTACGGTAATTACATGTATGCTGCGTTCAGCAGCTGAGCATACATAACCATGTCTACATGTACTACATGTAGTTTGGTCACTATTTTGAGTCCAATTGCAAGGGATAAGTGTATCCTTATAATTATAACAAGAAAAAAGCCATTTACTTACTATCTTTAATTCAATATATAAAACAATGGGCCTCTAGTTACGCCATACTCCTTGGAAAACGATTATCCTTACTATAGAGGTCGATATTCTTGTACGTAGGGCGATTCGACTGTAGTATATATATATAGTACCTTAATGATCGAGATTCGATACTCAATATTTCCATGACCAAAGTACTTAGAAACCACCCCTCGAACAAAGCCCTCCGGGGTGACCGTGAGTACACTACTGCAGTCAACTTTCCCGATAATCAGAAGGTATCTCTTAGAGGGGTAGTGAGGGGAAGTCACCTTATAGGCATGGTGTTATAGCTGTAATTCTCGGGATATACGTACATGTATATATCCAGGGAGTACTGTGAGAAGGTATACGTAAAGTATCCGCTTTCTATAGACTCTCACGTACGTACGCATTAGGCTCGTCGCCGGCCCCTCTACGCAGCTTGCTGCTAAGTAGGGGAGGGGTACGAGACTATATACGTACGCACTCTGTGGATACATACACGTCGCCGAAATCTCCCTGGGTTCTATATGAATATATAGGAAATTAATCCTATGGCCATGGGTGGGAGTACGTACGCGTCACTTTTGTACCCATAAGGCGGGTGGATTTATATGTAATGATATCGATAAATCATTAATTGCATTGGGCCGCGCTGCAGCGCTAGCTCTAGTACTGATAATCAAGCCTTGGTGTTCTGGTTCGTCTGCCTTGTGTCTGGGCCTGTCTCTAGACCTTTGTGCTTTTTCTCAGATCTAGATATACCAATGTCCCCGGGAATCAATTCATGTGGATTTCGAACTATATGTATGTGAAATATGAGGATCTATGCGGTGTGTACTAGCGTGGGTGCTTCCCCCTAGTGTTCAAAATAGATAAGTCATTGTGCGATTGAGTTAGAGTAGAGTAAATTTTGATATCGATCATGTCACTAACTAGTACTACCATCTATTAATACTACAGAAAAGTCTTCAGATGTCGCGATCGCTCATGACCTGGGTCCTCAATTGGGGGACATTACCCCCAAAAGACGTAAAGTATCAAAGTTTATGTACGTCTCCGGATCACAAGTAACCTCTTTTCTTGCACCGCGGTGAGTAGGCTGTAAGATTAACACTCGATGATCACAGGAGGTACTAGCTAACTACATGTACTCGTAGATTCAACTTATTCCTTAAATGGCCAAGCCAATATTTACTAAATATAATGATTACTAACCATATATGGAAGGTATGATGTGCTAAACTCTCATGGTGTTCATTTGTAGAGATCGTACCTGAAGTCCTTCTCACACGGGTAATCAATATCATGACTGCATGTACTGAATATAAGGCCAGCTGCACTAGTCATCATCAATACTTGTCCCATAACATTCCAAGCTATCCTCAATATGTTACAGCCATATTAAGGTAACTTTACAAAAACTCGCTCCGCCGTTTAATTTACTTTACGTCTCCGTAAGTAATCAAGGACCAGATATGCTTATAGGAAATCTCGATCTACTCGTAGGACGCTCACTCACGGGGTAAAGCTGTCAGATTGCAGTTGGGGATCAATTCGATAACAAATATAGCGCGCAGAGCTAGCCTTAGGCCGACGCCAAGGCCATATCATGCCCCCCCACAGAAAAAAGAGGATATTTTTGATTAAATTGCAAAGAAGATACGTTGTAGGTAAGCGGAGAGGTATTTATATACATACATGTACTTTGTAGTGCTTGTGACAAAGGACAAGTCACAAGGGTCACGGTGTCCTTGCTAGCTAGACTATTTATTGTGCTAGATCTCGCTTTTCTCTTAAAGTTTCTCCTATCATCACATCATCAAAGGTTTTGTTTTATTTTCCTCCTGATCAGTCGATTCGATCCCGTAGGACTAAGATCTATTCTGAACTCTTGCTTAGATCTGACACCTGAAGTACGTATACTCGAATCAGAGCAGAGACATTTCATTGGTTAAGCCTCCTCATCACTTAGATGGAGTACGCTGTAACTATGTAGTTCCGACCTTTTTTTTTTTTTTTTTTTACTTTTTTACCTTTCTTTTAACTCCCCTTAATGTTTACAGCAACGACGTAGCCTCTGCAATCAATCTTTGAACAACTCACTTACCGGTCATCTATCCTAGTGTCGCTTAACATGTTATGACATAACCTCTTTGCGTCGGAAAGTATATAGTCAAGTAGTTAGTGAATAGACACAGAAGACCCAGCGACAAGACTCAAGCTGACACAAACCCAGTCACAAAGCACAATTATAGAGGCCAGCTAGATCGAAGCCTAACGCTAGAGGTCACCAGCTATAATCCAACCACCACCTCCCCCTCTCACGAAACCCCTTCCCCCTCACCGGCGAGCTATGACATAGTTAGATATCACAGCCTACCGAAATCCAAGATTTGTTTCCTTGATCGATCTATCGTAATAGTTCCCGCAATTCCTCGCTAGTCTGTCGAATATTTGGGATTTGACTCTATATTCGCAGAATTCACACATCCCCACGGAGGATGCGGTCACCCAATACGCAAAAAGAGGTCATGAGAAGCCATTTGCGACCTCTTCCGTTGGGAGTGGTTGGGGAACTTCGTTTTTGGAGGAAATGATCATTACCAATTCTATTCTTGGCATGTTCTCCGAACCATAATCCATGATGTCAACTCTACTACATCGAAGTGAGCGAGTGGGTTTAAATAGTCCCATAACTCCCACTTGTATTCCACCACTCAGCACGAAGAACATTCTTTAATTTTTTATGTTGTTGTTTGGAGAACATTAAATCTTGTCATCAGGCAATACCGATTGCCACGATCGGTCCCTAGTAAGAAGGCACCTTTATATCTCCATTTCAAGATTAATTGATCTTCCCATTGATCTGACGAGGGAATTGGTGGTTCAAAGGCCTGAAAAATGGCCCACCCTGGCGAAAGTTCCCGCCAGGGAAACCGCACCCCCTCGCAGTTTATTCCCACCAATGACCATTATATAACCTTCCTGCCCGGTGGCCTTCAGACCCTCTCCCCGTCTGCTCACTTGGCCCGCCACCAGATTCGGCTCGAGACGGAGATCCGCCGCCTGGAACGGGAACAAATTTTCCGTGACCTCGAGTATCGTGTCCAGCGGATCCAACGCTATCACCAGGCTCACCCCCAACCCCAGGCTCACCCTCACCCCCAGGCTCACCCCCAGCCCCAAATTCACCTCCAGCCCCAGGCTCACCCCCAGCCCCAAATTCACCTCCAGCCCCAGGCTCACCTCCAACCCCAAGCTCACCTCCAGATCCAAGCTGACCTCCAGCTCCAAGCTGACCTCCAGCTCCAAGCTGACCTCCGGCTCCAAGCTGACCTCCAGGCTTACCCCCACCCCCAGCCCCGGGCCTACCCCCAGGCCCAGGCTCATCTCCAGTCCCAATCCAGCTCATCCTCTTCCGATCAATCTGGTGGCGGGGAAAAAAATCCTCCAGCACCGACAGCGGCCATATATAGGCTGCTTCGCCTGCTTCGCCCTGGGCCGGACGGTGATTTCCGCCCTACGTTGGGCGATACCAGTGGGTCCTACGGCTGGCCGGGGTATACTGGAGTAGAGAAGTATCCTAGCATTGAATTCCTGGAGAAAGGTGGATTTAATATTATATGGCTTCTGACCACAAATGGGCCGGATGTAAGTATAGAGTTTTATAGATACATCCCATACTCTCACAGAATGTTGGATAAGCTAACTTCATCCTCCTCCTCCACAGGGAAAGCCAAGACGCATGGTTTTTCGGGTCCCGATAGGCGGGCTGGATGAAGGCTCGGGAATCAGGGTTAGTCTTGTGAATGAGGTTGCCACTCTCAGGTATATTCGCAAGCATGTCCCGAGTATTCCGGTTCCACAGGTGTATGCATTTGATGCCGGTGATACGCTTATTGGGGTTCCGTTCGTCGCGATGGAATTCATCCCTGGTAATACGCTCAGGTACATGTGGCCGAGGTATTCTGAGGAAGAGCGTGAGGTTGCTTGCGATAACTTGGCCAGTGTCGTGATGGCAAAGATTTTCACCGAGTTTAAAAAGATTGGCGGTATCACACTCGAAGGCGAAGGCAGAATTGGTCCTGCTGTGGAGTATTCGAGAGTTTCTGATCCAGGAAGGGTATGTGTGTGTAGAATGTGCTACCAGCTTTGGCTGTCCTTTTTTTGTCGTTGCTAATGTGGTGTGTGTTGTGTCGATATAGAAGGAGCTTTACACCAATGAGTGTTATGACATTGGCCCATACGACTCTATCAATGACTATGTTCTCGCCAGTTACGACAAGGAGTTGAAGTACTATACTAGTATAAGCACCGTTAAGCATGGGGAGCCGATCACTAGGGAGATCATCAAACTTATGGATTTTATCGTTACACTAATGGAGGCGCGCATGGCATTCTGTCTCTCTGAGAAGGCAGATTCCGTCGAGCCGTTTGTGCTAATCCACGGAGACATGCACGGTAGTAACATCCTCATGAACGGGACAAGCATCGCTGGGGTGCTGGACTGGGAGTTTGCGGGATCGTACCCGCTCAGTGATATGCTGAGGAGGGGCTTTGGCTGTCAGGGTGCACCGTGGGAGAGAAGGGTCAAGGATATAGTGCTCGAAAGGGTAGGCGAGTGGAAAATGGATATGTTGGAGAGCTACGAGGAGCCTGCATGGGCCAAGGTGAGGGGGCTCACCGTCCCGGTGTCGCCAAATGGAGATATCGCAGTTTATGAGACTATATAAGGAGTTGCCTTACCCACCCCGCCCTGGTCCTCGTCAGGATCCCCTCCATGGAGGAGATTGCTGGTTACTGCGAAAACGCCCTATTGTGGGATAAAGAAGCTCCCTAGATTCTGTGCGGTTTTTGTTACCTGGCATTAACGGGTTAGTTATATGCATTTTAAGTGAGAGTGAAGGTCTGTATATAGGGAGGTGCCTTACCGGCCCCCACTAGCCTTCGTGTTCGCCGCCGTTCTCAGAGAAGGTTGCCAGTTACGATAAACTGCGCAGAGACTTCGGCATTGCTGAGCGGCAAGAGTTCACGTGTTTTTTTTTTTTTTTTTCACGTCCTGTCAACGGAGTTTTTTTTTTCTTTTCTTCTTTTTTTCCTTTTTTTCTTTCGTTTAATTCATTAATTGCATGCAACCTTACAGTTATTTAAATGCAATTTTTTTGTAATGAGAGTACATTTGAATATAGGTAGCTCTAAACAGAAAAATATTAATTTACAAATATTCTATATATACCGGTACAATAAATTAACAACGGGTGACGTGGGGAAGCTGATGAAACACATGTATTTGCGAGGTTGAATGGTCCATTTGAGAGGATGAGTCAACACATAGCGTTGCAGAAGGGAATTTATAGTAGCTTTTGTCGATTACATTAATTTGAAGAGGAGTAGTAGCGCGACAACCTTATAGTAGTTTACAAGAGTACGTGATATTATATTATTAACCCATGGTCCTAATCAACTATTTTCCAACGAAATGAGCAAGGCCGAAACATATTATACATCAACTGGGTTCCAAAGAATTATCCTTTCTTATTAAGTACATGTACTTGTAGTAACAAGTGAACACCTTAAATAAAACATAGAATCCCTCTAAATTTTAAGGAAACGTTAACACTCACCCGAACATAAGCAGTTTCAAAAGCCATCAACCGCAAAGGAATACATTCTAAGTCATATATACCAGACGTAAATGTAGTTTATTATCTATAACCTACGTGTACCCCCATTCCAACCACTCATAATACACACGAGTGATATCTCATGATCCAACTCACGTAAGGATCGACAATTTAGATACATGTTCGTACGTACAGACATTAAGTACTTGGTAGTATGTGTTTCTTGGAAACTGGTAGAGCGTAGATACGTAAGTGTGCCGGGGCCAGGGGATTGGCGGTGACTTTCCTCCCCGTTAATTCGTGGGCTGTCCACTAGCTGGCTAATGAGGAGGCTAATTAATGTTGGATTGGTTACAATCAGTTAGCACCTTGGGTTTGGGTTGACAGGTACTTGTATGTATGTATGCTGCGTGGAACCCGGTCTCGCCTTGTTGTATACAGCTCGCTAGGAGTGGGGTAGTGTATATCCTAGTGGTTTCGATCTTCCTGTGCAAAGGCTGGGGATGTAGCGGTTTGGGCCCGCTTGTCTTCTTCTATTAAAACACAGCGGGGCGGAGAGCATAGCTAGACCGGATACTGGCCGCTTAAACAATGGGTAGCAGAACATCGAATAGCCTCACATGGCGAGTGATACCTCGTGATGTAGCCAATTTATGTGTGTCTTTACTGCTGTAGATACTGGTAGAGTATATGATGCGCTGAGGGCCTGAAACTCGCGTGCACAAAACCTAGTGAATGTGGTTATGGGCCCAGGACCAGGCTGCATGATCCCGGCGGGGCGGGGGAGCCGTGTCATGGGTGATCACTCGTCAGGTTCTGTGGAACGTTTGGACAGAATAGAGATTCAGCGTGCGACGGGAAAGTACATGTATAGTAAATACTGTCATTAAGTTCGAGAGTAACCCACGGCCTGTATGCTGCCGGGGAGAAATGATAACCTTATTTCCTGCCGAGATCCGAAGCGGGGCGACGAACCGCGTGCTGGTCGGTGCGGAGCTGTGTAGGGATGCGAAGTTCATGGCGGCAACTACGGCGCTCGCAACGGGGATTATAGCGACGGCGGGGCGGCTAGAGATGCTGCCGGGGTTTGTGAGGCCTGTAGCGGCGTGGTGGATGCGCTGGGGAGATCGGAGGTTGGGGGCATTTCTGAAATATACGGACCCGATCTTTGCGGAGCGGAGGCGGCGGCAGGGGACTTGGGGGATGGGCGAGAAGCCGGATGATGCGTTTCAGTGGATCTTGGAGGCTGCACCGAAGGGTGCGAGCCTTCGGGACATGGCGTTTACACTCATCTTTCTGAACCTGGCGTCGATACATACGACGGCGGGAACGCTGACGCAGGTGCTCTTTGACTTGTGCGTGCATCCGCACTACCAGCCGCTGCTGCGAGAGGAGGCTGAGGAGGCACTTAAGGACGGGCTCTCTGGCAGCGCACTGGGAAGAATGAAGAGGCTTGACAGCGTCATCCGTGAAACACTGCGTATGAGCCCAACTAATGTTGCGGTCACCCCACGGAAGGTTATCACCTCGCACACGTTCAGCGATGGCACCCGCGTGGGGAGGGGGTCGTGGGTTGCGGAGCCTGTAATGCACGCTAATCGCTCGGGAGCGTGCTATGATAGGCCGGATGTCTATGATGGCTTCCGCTTTGTGGATATGGCCGGCGGGAGAAATCAGTGTGTGAGCACGTCGGTGGAGTTTTTGTCGTGGGGCCATGGCGCGAGTGCGTGTCCGGGGAGGTTCTTTGCGGTCGCGGAGATGAAGATCGTGTTGGCGTATATACTCTGCAACTATGAGATTAGCTTCCAGCCAGGGATGGTCGAGAGGCCGAAGAGCTCTACGGTGGGAATTTTCCAGGTTCCCAATACAAGTGTGGAGTTAGAGTTGAGGAAGAGGAAGGGGAGGGAGGAATAGGTGGTTTTCAGGGCGGTCCTTTGATATTAGGATCCAATTTATAATTAGACGGCTTGATTTAGGTAGCGTTTGTTCATGTACCCTAGGGCCTGGTCAATTGCAAGGAAGATAGCAATAATTCGTTTCTGTAGCTTTTTATGTTTTGAGCTACACAATCAAATGTTTTTTGGTAGCATTTGTCTCGAGTGATGGTTCATGACGTTGTGGTGATTGAATGCACCGCCTCTTATGATGCATGATATGGCCTTCTCAGCCTCATGATCACACGTATGATAAGGTTTGAACCACCATTGATCTAGGATAAACACTTTCGATAGAATAGTACAAAGCTGGAATAAAACGCCATGAAAACCTCCATGGGCCTAAATGACGTTGTATCGTCCATAAATCTCGGAGTATAGACAATTGTGCTGATAATGCGTGGCCTTTGTATTTTGAAGATATACCTTACCGTCGAAACGCATACAATTTTAAGCCTTATTCAGTCGGCTTATCCAGAACGTAGGCTCACAATAGCTTTATCAGTACAAAAATCCTTTTTTAAGCCTTATTTCATCCTTAAAACATGCTTAAATAATACTTATTTGAACCTTATTGGATTCATAAGGCTATTATGAGCCTACGATCTGGATAAGCCGACTGAATAAGGCTCCAAATTGTATGCGTTTCGACGGTAAGGTACTTATATAATGATGTCGAGTGATGGCTAGCCTGGTATCTAAATAGATGAGTAGTTGAACCGTATCTTGTCTTATTCGCCCATACAGATGATGCCGCACTTTCAGGTCTGTGGCGGTTGAGTATATCCTTTTCTGAGCTCTGGATCATTCGCCCCTACATAGTACCAACTGCCATAGTATTTGTAGCGTAGAACTTTTAATATTGAAGGCTTGACTTACCCTAATATCACGGGTACCTCTGGATCAAGTTGAATTTCTCCGCTTGTTCGACAGGTATATAGTTTGGATGTTTGACATCTTGCGCAGATGCTTTCCGCACCCGTCGCATCTATCACCGTTCTTTTGTAATGCGCGCGCTGAAACGAAGACTAGGTTTCCCGAGGAATTCTCAAGACAGGCTAGTATTTATCTAAGGGTGGTTAAACTGGGTGATTGATTCCTTCGAAGAACTGGCTTTCTCTCGAATCTTCTCCTTGACACAAGTTAAGTTTTCGTATCCTATCGCTGGTGCTTAGCCTAGATATATAGTTATCTGCGCCTAAGTTTATTGATAGTCGATCTGAAACCGTGTAGTATGGTAGATTGATCGAGATGAGGGGATGTTAAGGTCTGATCTCGTTGGGTACGCGGCAGATATCTAGCTAGACCGTAGCCTTCAGAGACGAAATCTCTCTCCTTCCCCTTGTTTTAAGTTTTGTGGATTGTGGAGATGTGTTGTTTCGGTAATCTTTCTCTGCGGCTGAATTTGGCGAGTGATCCTCCATGATGTGATACCAACGTTGCTTAGCGCCACCTCAGACATCCAACTAACAGTCGGCGAATACCGTGATTATTTGTTGCAGTTACTAGCGCATTTGAGCACATCATAATTTATCTTCCCCGTTGTGAATTATCAAACTCAACGTTATCGCTGCTTGTTGAGATATATGATTTTCTCTCATCTAGTGAATCCTAGGGATTGATGTGAAGGCCACGCGATTTTGTGTGTGTGTACCCTTGTAAGGGTTTGTGCAACCTATGTGTGCTCTGTGACTCTCGAGGTTGCTCTACCCCAGGTTTCTCCCTGGACCAGTGAGGAACATGATCGTGTCGTTTGATCCCGATCCATACATGCTTTCGTCTCTTATACTTTTATTTGTACACACATGAGAGGCTAGCTTGCTGACCGGAAAGGCCCATGTGTCCGGTTATGTTGATCTTCCGGCCACAGCCGCGGTTTCCCCTGGTTGAAGAGGTTCGAAATAGTTGTACCCGAGAATGCAACTAGCAAACGCCCCTTGGATACATGATATGATACCTAGGTACAGTAGGTACACATATCTTCTGTGCGCACACTGGAGTGAGTAAGGGGAGGTTTGTTGTGTGTCCAACAGTAAGTGAGGTTTGTCGGTTTGTTGGATCTGGCTTGGCATGGTTGTACCCACATCAATTACCAAGCTGTGGTCCATGAAGGGAAGGAAGGAAGGAGAAGGATGACAATTAATTTTCATAGAAGGGACGAGGAAGAAAGTATGTGCGTGTATGCCAAACATAGTGGCCACGGGCCGCCTGGGGAAAGTGTGTATGATGTATGTAGGGTACATGTATTTTTTCTATGAGGGGGCGGTGAAAGCTTATTATTACCATGTAGACCGTGCATTTCTCACTTTCTTTCTTCCATAGCACTACATTTAGTGACGTTCTTCTGCCTTGGTTTCCTTCTTGTTAGAATATCCTCTTTTTCACTTTCTTTTCTTCTCTTGCTGCTGCCGTCACATCTCTGTTCGATACGATACGCCTATCTTTGCGCCTCCCATTCGCTCAATACCTGAGTAGCAAGTAAGATATTAAGGCCCCACTACCTACCTACCTGCCAACCTACCATCCCACCTATCCATCTACATACAACCATTGTAGAAGTCAGTTTGCCCACCCCACACACACCAAAGTTTCCTCAATTTTCAATCGTCAAAACGTCTTCCACGCAGCAGCCACGCGGGCAGCTGGCGTCTTCAGCCTCCTCCACCACGTCGCGGAAACGAAAGCTGGAGGCGGCGGCAGCAGAAGAAGACTGCTCGCCTTCTTTTTCCATCAATAACACCACCACCCCGACCTATTCTTCCTCTTCTTCCTCATCATCCCCATCCTCTTCGTCTTCGCCTTTTTGTGAAACTTCTCATCCGCCATCGCCTTTCACGTACCCAGAGGCTGCTAGCGTCAACCCCTCCTCCCAGGCACCAGCAATCCCCGTCACCACCCCCACTACAGCCCCCCCAGCAACCACTGGTATCACTACCACCACAACGATAGCCCAAGGGGATATTTTAGGTTCGCTTCCCCTGCGTGTGTTTGGTTTAGGTATCTATTTACTCTAGACGTATCCTCTCTACTCCCATACTCTTCTCTTTTTTCTTACTGCTTGCCACAATACCGCCGCCCCTCCTCCTCATGAACTGGGGCAACTGACCACACAATCACAATCTAACCCTTCTTCATCTTCCACCACAGATATGGATACTGATTCAAGCGACGCGGCAACTTGCCCCCCCGCACCCGTAGAATCGCCTGCCCTCCTCCTCCACCCTTCCGCACAAACATCGTCGTCCACCGATACCATTGCTCGGTCCCAATCTCCCGCCAAACGGCTAAAGTCCGAAGAGGCCCCAAATAGGACCCCCGCTCCCCACAGTCTCGAGGACACAGCTGACCCCATGGACGAGGACACCCCGGAAGTAAGGAGAGGAGTCTCCGTGGATATGTTAGATGTGCTCACTGGCTCATCTGAGATGGCTGCTCCTTCAACAGCTGCAACTTCGATCACTTCGGCTCCTAGGCCGTCAGCCGAGGAGATGTTCAACTTGGTGTTTCAAGCAAAGATAGAACCCAAGATGGTGGAAGGCGATGTGTGGTACATCATCTCTGGGCCGTGGTTGAACAGGCTCATCCAATCGAATCAAGGTGGCAATTCCTTGTCAAAGGAGGATGATGAAGGGGAACTAGGTCCGATAGATAATTCGGATCTCGTGGAAGCATCACAGGAGGCAAAGCCTGATCAAAGTATGTCTTCTTCTAGATCACTCAGTTTTTTGGTTTGTCATGGGGGACCAGCCAACGACCAGCAGAAATGGGCATAAATTAACTTGGTGGTTTAGCAGGCAATCTAGATGACGAAATTTTCCCGTCAGAAGAGTTGATCCCAATCAAACCCGGCATTTATGGAGAGGATTTTGAAATTGTCCCGGAAAACGTTTGGGACTCACTGGTTTCTTGGTATGGCCTTGCTCCAGGCTCGCCAGTCATCAAAAGGCGAGTGGTAAATACTTCGGAACCGGGTGACGAGCCAAACCTCCAATGTGAATACTATCCGCCCAAGTTTACCGTTTTTAAACTTCGAGACCCTAGCGCAGCTATCACGAAAGATATCTTACAAAATGAGAAGTCTCAATATCCGAAGGAGTTCATGGCAACGAAAGCCGGAAAATATCAGAAGTTTCTCCAGAAGGTTAAAAAGCTTGCGGATGTGGAGCCTAGCAGAAGGATTAGAGTATGGAAAGTAAATTTTTCAGAAGAAAAGGCTAAAGCAATCCTGCAAGAGGCTAAGAAGCCCACTAAAGGGAAAAGCCCAGGAATGTTCGCGAAGCTGGTCATAGATTTACAACAATTTTTAGACTTGCAAGAGGGTGAGCGGGAGCTTATACCACTCCCAGATTCTTCGAATGACGCAAATTATAACGGCAACCTTCGCCTCAGTACTGCCGGCGTTGGAGCCGGGGGGATTATTGTTGTTGAAGAGCAGAGCTCGGAAGGTGGATGGATTAGCGAGAAAAATGTTAAGCCAGCCACTAGATTTGGCCAGACAGTGACAGTTACAAGTCACGGGAAACTCGCTGCTATTACTCCGGTATCCAAAAAAAAGACTACATCAAGGAGCTCAAGCCCCTCTGCAAGTAGTGTTAAGAGCCCCCCGTCGAAAGCCACTGTCATCAGGGGGAGGCGGGAGGGAAGGCCACAGGGAAAATGTGGCCTTAGCAACCTCGGAAACACCTGTTACATGAACAGTGCTTTACAGTGCTTAAGGAGCGTGAAGGAGCTTTCTCGATATTTTATTTGTATGCCACCTTTATACCCACTTGATGAAAGATAGAATTTACTAATAATCAATCAAAAAGCGGATGAATATGAGAAAGAATTAAACCCCGGTAATCCACTTGCGCATCATGGCAAAGTTGCAAAAGCGTATGCAAGTCTACTGAAGAATATTTTTTCACCAACATGCCCTGCATCCTTCGCTCCAAGAGAGTTTAAGACGACCATCGGCAGATTTGGGCCATCATTTCAGGGATATGGGCAACAGGATTCCCAGGAATTTCTCGCGTTTCTCCTCGATGGCCTACATGAGGATCTGAACCGTATTCAAAAGAAACCTTATATTGAGAAGCCGGAATCTACAGACGAGATGGTTGATGATATGGAGGCCATTGCGAAACTTGCATCAGAACACTGGGATATATATAAGAAGCGAAACGACTCAGCTGTCGCCGACCTCTTCGGGGGTCTGTACCAAAGTACTCTTGTTTGCCCTGATTGCAAGAAAGTCAGCATTACATTCGACCCCTTCATGGACTTGACCCTCCCGTTACCTGTAGAGAATGTTTGGTCGAAAGAGATCTTCTTCGTTCCAAAGGATGATTCCAAAGGGAAACTTCTGAAAATCCCAGTGGAGATGGATAAGAATGGTAGCATAAAATCGCTTAAGGAATATGTGGGGAAAAAGATGGGAGTAGACCCCCGGATGGTGAGTTCTCTCTTTTTTTCTTAGGTTGAAGAGGGAATGAATTGCTAATGTATGAAAACATCAGATCATGGCGTCCGAGGTTTACAAAAACAGATTTTTCAAACATTATGACGATTCGGCCACCGTTGCTGATCAGATCCAGCATAACGATGACGCTTATCTCTATGAGCTCGACGATATACCTACAAGCTGGCCTAGCAAAACTAAAAAGCCCAAGAAACCCCTCTACTATGGCAGTTCTTCAAGTTACCAGTTTGAAGACGAAGAGAAAGAGCCGCAACCAGGCGCCCCAGAAACCGAAAAGTTGCTGGTACCGGTATTTAACAAGGTATACAAAGAGAGCCAATTTAGTCGATCGACGAATCTTGAAGGATTTGCCTTCCCTTTCTTCATTGTAGTCAACAGAGAGGAGGCCAAGGATCTTGACGCAATTATGTCGAAGATTGTCGAGAAATACCAGCTTTTGACCAGCCGGAATCTTTACGAACATGTGCAAGAAAGATATGATGACATTGAAGACTACGAGGAAGCGAATGAAGGTGTTGAGGTGAACGAGCCGAAGGAAAAGGTGGCTGGCGATGATGAGCAAGAGGAGGATGATAAAGATGGATTTGTCAATGTATCCATGAAAGACGCAGGTTCTGTTCAGGATTCAGAAAATGCTGATGAAGCCGAAGGCAGACCCCCCAAGAACACCAATAGACGTGGCCTTCCAACCGGATTGCAAGAACTTTTCAACGTTAAGGTCAGCAAAAAGAAATCAGGGGATGCGTCATTGCTCACTGGTTGGCAATCGCTAGATGCTTCTCTTGATATTAGGGAACGACTATACCCAGATAACCCACCCACCCCTCCTCCGAGAAAGCCGACTGTCTTTTCAACGGGTGGAAACTCTAATCCAGAAAGCGTCAGTGATACCGATACTTTTGAAGACGCTCCTGAACCCGAAGGAGATATGATGCAAGATGCTAGTGATGATGAGGGGGAAAGCTCTTTTCCGAGATCATCATTCAATGTTGCGTTTGGGCCAGTTATAGGCTCTAATTTCTATGGCAACAGCAGCGCAAACTCCTCTGTTAAGGCTTTAAAGACGCCTTCAAGAACGCCCAGCCCTATTATACTTGACGAAAGCCCTCTTATCAGATGGGGCGAAGGGCTTATCTGCGAGTGGACTGGATCTGGCTGGGATGCTATCTTCGGGGGAAAGAATGAAGACGACCTCCGTGGCAGGGCGATGTGGGGTAACATAACGGTTTACAATGACCAAGAGCTCTACAATCGGCGACGACGTCGGGAGGACCGTAAAAACAAGGGTATACATCTTGAGGACTGCTTAGATGAATTTGCAAAGGACGAAGTTCTCTCGGAGGAGGATCCTTGGTATTGTCCACGATGCAAAGTCCATAAACAAGCCACGAAAAAGTTTGAGCTGTGGAAATGCCCTGATATTCTTGTTATCCATCTCAAACGATTCTCAAGCTCGAGGAACTTCAGGGACAAGATTGATGTTTTGATTGACTGCCCAGTCGAAGGCCTTGATTTATCAAATCGGGTTGGATTGAAAGAAGAGGATCATGGATTAATTTACGACCTGATCGCTGTTGACAACCACTATGGTGGATTGGGTGGCGGGCATTATACGGCCTATGCCAAGAATTGGATTGACGATAAGTGGTATTACTGTGATGGTTCGTATAACTTTTAGTAGTGATTCCTTTTATAACTATTTTACTTATACTAATAACGGAAATAGATTCAAACGTACGAGAGGTTCTCGACGCTGATAAGGTCATCACACCGGCAGCTTATCTTCTTTTCTATCGTCGCCGCGCTAGTCATCCATTGGGAGGACCGCACTACGAACGACTTATCAGTGCTTTAGAAGGTACCTCTGAGGACTCAGCTGATGAGACAGAATCTTCACGTGACGCGTCCCCTAACCGGGCGGGGGAAGGTGGGCTATCCGACGACCGGACTCGCAGGTCGTCGGGCGGTGGAGTCGGTGGATTTTCGACAATTTATTCCGATGAAGTTGGGAACGGAAATCTCTGGAACACAGAGCCAAGCTCAATCATCAAAGTGTTCGATGAGCAGCTACCTGCCTATTCCCCCTTGAAGCCTGACGATTCGGAAGAATTAGGCGTTGAGATGACTTCATTGCTCACAGTCGAGCCTCAGCCAGTAGAGCTATCATTTACCGAGCCGAGGAACGAACTTATCAAGGATATGGATGAAAGTGATCCGGAGGCTGAGATTAGTGGTGGTGGTGGCGGGGTCTTCCTTCAGCCGACAGAGCAGGATGATGGAGAGCCTGCAGAGATACTAGTTGATGATGAAGATACCATCACGCCAGCCCCTGATCAGGCATCATGATTTTATGTAGAGTAGATTGGGATTTGATTGGTAAAAAGCAATGAATCGTTTTGTTGTTTATATAGCAGGGATGTCTCGTCGCTTTTGTACGGCCAATGTTCAAAGTTTGAGGGTGTATAGGTATTTCTGTAGAATATCCATAAAGAGGTGGGAAACTGGGGGACTGTCAGCTGCATATCTAGGTTTATCGGAGATGGTGCAGTACATACATAGTTATAGGGGTTTCTTACATCATGCGAACCAAAGGGTTTTTTTTTGTATCCTCAAACGTAATTGCTAAAGGATTTCCAAGAATAGGTACCGACTGACTGTTATTCTGGTTGGTAGAGAACCTTAAGAGGGATACAAATGGGATAACAGAGTTCCACATGTCACTAATTACAGACAAGATGCGACTTCTGGATTTCGTTTATTAGGGCCCGTTCGATTGCACCCAAATATCGTGATATTTGACCCCAAAAAGAACATTCGTTACTAGATATGTTAATACCCTCTCCTTATTAGCCCAAATATCACGATATTTTGGTGCAACCAAACGGATCCTAAGCTTCATAACCACGGTGGCTATGATAATTTAGTTAGATATGGAGCTTATTCTTCAGTGGATCAAGCTCAAGCTCTATATATTATCATCCTGTGAGCTGATATACGCAAATTCCAGGATCCCATATTTCAGTATTCCTTCCAGTGGCAAAGTCATTTAGCCTGATACTGCCTAGGCTACTAAGTCTCGCTGGATTATTCGAGTTTTGAAATACTGGGCGCATAATTTACTGGTATCATTGGTTCGATTCCAACACTCTCTCAAGCTCCTGTCTATGCTACCAATCACTGATCCCCCCCCTCTTCAGCCTTGTAGCCAGCGCAGCGGATAGCCTTTCTCATAAACCTGGATGATCCCCCGACTTCGAACTAGTTACAATCTTCAGCATGGTTAAATCTCTTCTTATTCAAAATTAGGCGATTTCACAGGGCCGGTGCAACAATGTCATTCTTTAGAAGATTGAAAAGGAAAAAGAAGGAAACAGTAAGGGAAGCTATAGCGGAGGTTGGGTGAGTTTCATACCTTACCTAGGGTTTACTTCCAATTACGTTTTGTTAATAAGAACAGTCTCAGCGATACAACGGGTCACAAATACGGATGCCATATTTTACTAGAAGACCCTGTACAGGATAAAGTTGAGTAAATGGTAATCTCGCTCGGATAGATACGCTCTCTTTCCGGGTAGGTTGAGCTGTAACCATATGGTCCTGACTGATACTATATATTGTCGAATCAGCATTGTGTTTGTCCATGGCTTAACAGGCGATCGAGTTTCGACATGGACGGTAAAGCCCAAAAACGATGGAGATAGTGTTTTTTGGCCATTAGACTTGCTTCCTAAATCGATCAGTAATGCCCGGATCATGTCTTTTGGCTACGACGCAGATGTAGTGAATTTTTGGAAACCCGCGTCCCAGAACCGCATCTTTGATCAAAGGCGTTATCTGGAGCTCTTGGAAACATAAGGGAGAGTACTGACACTGTAAGTATATATCGCTTCATCATGACTGGATTTCGTAACTAAAAGCGAGGATAGATGGAGTGTCCGATAATATTTATTGGACACAGTCTTGGGGGGCTAGTCATCGAGGATGTTAGTACAATCTTATTACCTTTAGTTTATTTAATTCTACGTTTTATGGACTTGGCATGCTGATTTATGTTTACTACATGCAAGTGCTTATTGAACTCAAATACCAGCCATGAAGACTACATTAAGGAAATCCTCAGATCTACAACCGCTATCGCATTCCTTGGTACACCCCACGGCGGTTCAAATCAGGCAGAAATGGCTATCATTGGCGCAAACTTTCTAAAGCTCTTTAGAAACATAAACAAGGACATTCTCATGTCATTGACACCAGCCTCAGAAGCTCTGTCTAGGATACAGCAAGACTTCCACAGAGTTGTAAATGGTCTTCCAGACAGTCGAAAAATAAAAATCACTTGTTTTTACGAAGAGCTTCCTGTCAAAGGCATTGGCGAGGTAGGCCAACCCTGTGCTTCGTTTTAATTTTTGTATGCATAACTGACGTAAGTTTATCCTTCGATAGATTGTTCCTAAGAACTCTGCAATACTTTCAGCGTATTCGAATTACCCCATATATGCAAACCATACGGATATGACGAAATTCAGTGATCCAAACGATGTTGGCCGGGTTCTTTTTTATTTGTGTTCAGTCTCTGTTTCTTTTCGTCTTCGGCTTTACGACGATTCGATAACAAAATAAATAAAATCTTATTTATTGCCAGGGAGAAATCAAAATGAAACTTCTCTGACGATACTAACGACGGATGATGAAAAAGGAAGAAAAGAAAAAAGAAAAAAGCGAGCTAGCTATAAGGTTGTTCCGCCGTGAACACCTTTACAAAGGGATTGTCCACGTTATCACGTGTTGTACTGACTAATACATGACAAATCGCTTTACAGCAAATGTGCCCAACAACGATCAAGGATATATTACGGTCATGAATGAAATCAGACGATGAATCAGGGAAGAGTTGAAACGGAATAGGGCTGCCACCAGTGCTCCCGGTAGCCAAAACTGTGTAGCAAGTGCTCATGGAGTGGGACAAAAAGCGGTAGAAGCGACAAGCGACCGAAGGGAAGATTCAAATAGTAGGGGTTAGTCAATATGCAATTCTGTCATATTTATTAGTTTATTAGCAAGAATATCAAAGTCTAATTAATATAGTCGACCAAGTAAAGAAAGAACTATATTTATCCGATCCAGCAGACGACAAGGAAGAAATTGTTGCATACAAAGGAAAACGTTCAGATGGTACTTGCGAATGGATTCTCAACACACCGGAGTATAACTCTTGGTTTAATAGCCCAGGGTCTTCTCTCCTACACTTATCCGGCAGCCCCGGGAAAGGGAAGACAGTTTTCTCTATTTTCCTGATAGACTGTATCAACAGCCAATTACAACCCAGTAACACATCCGCGGAAACCCCGGACGCTATTTTGGTCTATTTCTTCTGTGACAACAAAAACAGCAATCGAAACATAGCAGTATGTATTATGAGAGCAGTTCTCTTCCAGATGCTACAACGACGCCCAGAACTCCTCAAATACATTGAAAATGACGAAAAATATAAGTCAACCGGGGCAGAACTTTTTACGTCATTCCTGGGCCTGTGGAGAATTTTCCTTAGAATGCTGAAAGATCAAAATATGCCCATGCTGTACATCATTGTCGATGGGCTTGATGAATGCGACGAGAGTTCTCGCACTTTATTTCTCGACCACAACAAGAGACTTTTTCAATATCCGAAAGATGTTTCTGTGAAACTTATTATTACTAGCAGGAACTATCCCCTTATCTGAGAAGCCTTAACACGATTCGTCAAAATCGACCTCGACTTTAAAACCGAGAAGCTTCAGAACGACGTCTTCCGTTTCATCGATTTTGAGATCGAACACCTAAGTGAAGAGAAGCCTTATATGGATGTCGAGGAAGTACGAAATACCTTGAAAGCAAAGGCCGATAATACGTTTCTATGGGTGTCCTTGGTTATGAAGGAGCTCAGAAAAGATGTTACCAGCGGGGCTATCAAAGCCAGATTGAAGACACTCCCGCGTGATTTAAATGGCATATATCAGAGACTGTTGAACGAAATCCCTGAAGCCTCGCACCAGCACGCAAAGCAAATCCTAATATGGGTCACCTTTGCAAAGCAACCACTCAACATCAAAGGGCTGGCTACTGCATTGTCATTCGCCTCAGATCTCCGTCAATCCGTCAATGAGTTCGAACAAACCTTGAAGGATTTTATTAGGGTGTATAGTTCCCTGGTACATGAACAGAATGGAGTCATCAACCTCGTGCATCAGTCTGCTAAAGACTTTATGCTACAAGAATTTGACAGAGACACTCCAACCTGGTATCAGTGCCCACCAGGAGAGGCGGAAAAAGATCTCACGAACATCTGCTTCAACTACATGGAAAAGACACCCTTCACAGTCGAAAGAAGGACTATTTTGAGCGACCCTGAGCTTACCCATCATCAGAAGATGATCCATTTCTCTCGTATGCGATCAGGTTTTGGACAGCCCATGCCAAACAATCCGTGGAAACTGTTGATCAAGTGTTTGACCTCAAAAGTCCGTTCTTTGATGACAATTCCACGGTCCGTAATTTGTGGCTGGAAGCAGTTAAGGAACTTGGTGATGAACCTTTGTTGTCAGTATATATCGCGTGCAGATTCGGAATCCCTAGTCTTCTCCGAAAGTTGATAAATAGCGGGAGAGACATCAACTCTAGCACTTGCGAGATGAAGTATACACCGCTGCATCTGGCGGCTTACAGTGAGGAACCGGCCATAGTAAGACTTTTGCTGGATCAGCCAAGCAACATCTGGAATTGGAGAAGATTAAATATCAACGCCAAGGATGAAGGTAATGAAACACCGTTACACGTGGCAATTTGGTCCGAATCCTACGCAGTGGCCAAACTGTTGCTAGAGGACAAAAGAATTAATCCTATGGCAAAAGATAACGATGGAAGGACCCCACTGCATCTTGCAGTAGAATACGGAGAAGAAGAAACAGCCGCGCTACTGCTGGAGAAAGGAGTCGACCCTATGGCAAAAGATAACGATGGAAAGACTCCGCTGCATGCTGCATGCGCAGCTTGGTGCCAGCATGAGAAAATGGTCACGCTGCTGCTGGAGAAAGGAGTCGACCCCACGGCAAAAGATAGCGGTGGAGGACTCTGCTGCATGCTCCAGCTCTATACAAAAATGCGGCAATAGTCAGGCAGCTGCTGGAGAAAGGAGTCGACCCCATGGCAAAAGATAACAATGGAAGGACTCCGTTGCATGTTGCAGCTGAATACGGAGAAGAGAGAATAGTCACGCTGCTACTGGAGAAGGGATTCGATCCTATGGCAAAAGATAACGATGGAAAGACTCCAGCCGATTTTGCCTGGCCATCTCATATTATCGAGCGTTTAAGCACGTACTATCCGTCATATATATGAAGCGGCTACGACCACCTACCAAAATCGTTCACTATGCAGGACTATTCAACGAAGAGTTGAGTCTTTGAAGACAGGCAAAGTCGCAGGTCGGCTTATCAGATACCCTTATGTTGACGTTTCATACAGTCATGTATTTGGTGGGATTTACTTTTTATATTTTGGTATCAGGTTCGGTTTATATGTGGGAATTACGATTCGGAGAGTTAGGTTGCACTTTCTTTATATGTTACGCACGTGCAGTTAGTTTTATATTTATGCGAATTGTGAGATTTCTTTTCTCATGACCTTTTTTTTTTTCAGCCTTTTCTTTTCTTTATCCACATTTACGATGATTCTACTACTGCGAGGTTAAAAACTATATAACCCCCACAGACTGTGGATTCGACAAACACGTCCTCGACCGCGTGCCCCCGGGATATGTCTTTTTAGAATATGTGCCCTCGATCATATCTTTTCCAATTAAACCCATGTAGTCGTCAAGATAGCGTACTGGAAAGGATTGGAAGGGCGACACTTTATATATCGAGTGACTTTAGTATTGAGGTAGTATGCATACAGGTACTGTATGATTTCAAGTCGATGTTGAGCAAGGAACTGTGGATTAGTACAGTAGGCGGCGCTGCGCGCTAGGATTTCTCTTAGAGTGTCGTTACTTTTACCTCCTAGCTAGCAGCGCACGTGTTTTCTCAGCAAGCCTTGGCGCGGGGTTTCATCGGAGTTTTCCTCAAAGGTCGGTTCTCGAATTTTCCTTTTCACCTCTTGGACCCAGGCCCCAAGCTATTCGGGGCGGGGATTATCATTAACCCTTTTGTCTTTTAATTGATGATGATGCCCGGGATCCACACGAATGAACGTTCGAGTTGAGGCCATCCCGCGTCACGTCACATCAACCGCGAGCCAAGAGATCTAGATCACAAGTGCTCACTCGCCGGCCTGTGTATGGTATGTCCGATCTCCAGTCAGTGCAGCGGCCGGAGGTAACGGTGATAGCGCCGGCAAGAGGAGATAATTATTAGTCAGTTTCTCGCGCCAAACAAAAGCGCAAAATAAATAGAAGCGCCTCTCCTGCCCTCGTTTCCGAATAAAACACATCTCTCCCTCCATTATATACCCATTGCCTACAATACCCATATAATCTTATAAACAAACTATGCCTCACCCAGTGTTCGCCGCATCAAACATCGCCGTCATCACCGGCGCCGCGTCCGGTATTGGACTGGCGATTGCGCGCCTGTGTGCGGCGCATAACCTCAAGATGGTGCTGACGGACGTCAATGGCCCGCTGCTGCAGGAGGCGGCGGGGACCCTTGAGGCGCCGAAGGAGAATGTAGAGACTGTCACGATGGATGTGGGCGATCGGGGCGCGTGGGCGAGTGTCAAGGAGAAGGTCAACCAGAAGTTTGGAGGAAAGGTGGACTTTTTGGTGCTGAATGCGGGGGTGGGGCCGAAGACGGACTGGGAGGATGTGGAAAGTTTTAAGAAGGTGAGTTTTAGTCTGTATGGTGGTTGCTGATGCTGGTGGGAAGATGCTGACCGGGGTTGGTGGATAGCTGTATAACACCAATATCTTCGGTGTCTTGAACGGAATTGCGGAGTTCCTCCCAACACTCAAGAAGAACTCGACCCCGAGCTCAATCGTCATCCTCGGCAGTAAGTCTCCCCCACACATCCCAGGTAGCTATCCAACCAGCTAGCTCAACACTAACCACCCCACGCAGGCAAGCAAGGAATCACCAACCCCCCCTCCAACCCAGGCTACAACTCGTCCAAGTCGGCCGTCAAGACACTCACCGAGCACCTCTCCTTCGACCTCAAGGAGACTCCCATCTCCGTGCACCTCCTCGTCCCCGGCTGGACGTTCACCGGCATGACCGGCGCCGGCAAGGCCGACAAGCCTGCAGGCGCCTGGACAGCCGACCAGGTCGCTGAGCGCCTGGCGATAAAGATGGAGAAGGGCGAGTTCTATGTGGTCTGCCCGGATAATGACGTCACGGAGGAGATGGACAGGAAGAGGATTGCGTGGGCGGTGGGGGATGTCATTGAGGGGAGGCCGGCGCTGAGTAGGTGGAGGGGAGGCGAGTGGGGGGAGAAGCATAAGGCCTTCATGGAGGGGAATTAGTTGGATGGTTTATTAGTTGGAATATATGGCTACACTTAGCTAGGCCTTGTTGGTAGTAATTATTAGTTGTGACCAATCAGCGTGTGTGGTGAATGCGTTAGTGTGATATGCCCTGTGGAACCCTGGCCGTTGGGTCTACCGCATTAATTCGTTCGAACGGCCGGTCACACAAGACGTCGAAGTTGCCTTTTCAAGCTAATATGAGGGAAGATTAGGGGGCGTATTCAAGACAAATAACCAAATACGGGAATTTCAACGTCTTGTGTGACCGACCGTTCGAACGAATTAATGCGGTAACCTCGTTCTCTAAACATGAGAGGATATCCATATAGCCGCTGCATCTGCACAAGATACCTGCTTCCCTAGAGTCAGCCCATGTTGCTTTGCAATCTCACGATAGAGATGGTATCAAAAAGAGGGGAGTATTAATCCTTCACCTTGCTCTCCTTGGCCGCTAGAGTACGATAAATTAATCGATCGAAGTCAGGGATACGTTGCGGGGTAGGGGCTTGCGAACAGAAGAGAAGAGGAGAGAAGAGAGAGCAGAGAGGAGAGAAGAAGAGAAGAGAGTAAACTGAATTAGGATTTTTCTTAGATAGTGGGAGCGAACCTTAATTCTGCCACGTGCTACCGAGATGCTGAAGAAGTATTTCAACAAACAATGTGGAGCGCGAGGTCTCATTGATATTCTGGGAAACGAATACTATATGTATATAGATACGTGTTCTGTAAGGTGTTCTTAGTACTAGAACCTAACTAGACGTGTCATCCAGATCTTTAAAGGTATAAATTGATAGGCCTTTATCCTCCTCCATAATGGGAACATAACAATCATCCATCGGCCTATTACATGCATGCACTTATCGTGTCTTCCTATGCTTCACCATCTTCCTCCGCCTCTCTCCATTACGATCACATTCTGAACATGAGACATGAAGCATGCAGTATTCTGTCACGGAAATATTTACTTGCGGTGATGGTGATCATCCTCAAGTACATCACTACAAGTATTTTACGGTACATGTAGGTATAGTACTATACCGCGCGTGACCACCACCCACCCCTCCCCACCTTATCGGGTTCGATTCCCTGGTAAAGAAACGAATACTTTTTGTCACCAATCTTTTTTACGGAAAAGGCCTAAACTGACACAGTTTTCGGTATGCATGCTCTGCAATAACACATGATGCAAGATGACACGCCGAGAGTACAAAGACAATCGGGAAAAGAGAAAGAGAACAAAAGTTTCTAGAAAAGTACAAAAGGTACTGCAACGACTTATTGAGAAATTTGCGCTACTACCCCCACCCCTGGTTTGGGCCCAGGACCTTATGTGTTTGGTTGTATCCTGGGTACGCTCGGTGTTGACGAGCAGTCTATCAACTAGACCACCCGCCTATAGTGGATGCTGTGCCTAAAGTGATACTTGAGCTAGCTTGGCAGTGTGCCAAGATGAAGATCGAACTTGAACCCCGACCCTTCGATATTATCATTGCTCAGCCAATTCGTATACTAATTGATGTATTCATTTTGGATTACCGAACTGTGTCATCTTGCATTCATGTGTTATTGTAGAGCACGTCTACCGAAAGCTGTGTCATTTTAGACCTTTTCCGTTTTTTTTAACTCCAACTTTTAAAAAGTAAACTAGAACAGGATAATCTTTTCTTGAAGCTTCGTGCATGCCTACAAGTACTACTAATCTAGTACTACTGCATGAGCCCAATATACAACCAATGAATTAATCTGGTGGATGGTAACTCATAGATGAGACGGAACCATTGACCCCCCGATGCCGACTCGAATGCTAGCTAGCTCAGCCATCTACTTGTACATTTTTCTTTTCTTTTTTCATTTTGGAATATAGTGGACTATGTTATGTCTTATTGCAGAGCACGTATGCATTCCAAAAAGCTGTGCCATTATACCCCTTTCTGCACTTCTTTACCATCATCCCCATTTGCACAAACGAATATAGAGATAGTACTATTATAATACAAGAATTTCTACTACGGCAAGCAATGGATCTACTATCTACTTAACATCTAGTTGGTACTATATACAGCAATTCCACCCCACCCCCACCACCCTCTACCCATCCAGAATCTCCCTCAACCCCCCCTTCAACGTCTCATGCCCCCCCACCGCCCCCAACGCCTCCACCAGCGCTTCAGCCCCCCTCACCACCATCCCCCACAACACCTCCTCGACCTCCTCCCTCTCCCACCACCTCCTCACAACCCTCACCCCCTCCACCACCCTCACAGCCAGCACAAACACCTCTTCATCCGCCAGCCACCCCAACGCCCCCTCGCTCCCCTTCTCCTTTACCTTCTTCTCAAAAGCATCCAACCCACCCACGGTCCAAAGAACAAAGTCTCTACCGCCCCCTTCCTGCACCTCCAACCCCGCCAACGCCCCGCCCCACCGCCGCGCCTCCTCACTCCCATCAATAAACAAGTTCTGCCTCTCCCGCGCAAACAGTATCGTCCCCGCACCCAACAACCTCTCCAGCTCCCCGCCCACATCAACACCACCACCACCACCACCCCGCACCCTCCCAACAACATCATCGAAAAACTCCGCCTCCCCACCAAACACGCCCACCATCGCGTCCAGCAGCGCCTCGCCCGCCCGCAGTGGCACATACGCCACCCGCGCCCCCGCCCCCGCGGGAAGAAGGCCACACACGACCTCCGCCGCCCCATCACGCAGCTCCTCATCGTCGTCATTAAGCAGCTCATACAGTGCCAGATACGCGCCGCGCAGCGCCACCGGCCGCGACCGCCACTGCGCCAGCGTGTCGAAGCTTAGCACCGGGGCCAGCGCCCTCAGCGCCGCCAGCGCGGCCTCCCGCGCCGGGTACGGCTGGTCTTCGTGGATTGCGGGAGTGACAAGTTTGATGAGCTGTGCGAGGGCCCACTCGGCCCACTGCGCGCCGTCGTCGTTGTTGGGGAGGTGCTGGTAGTGTGCCCAGACGCGGGCGGTGAGGAGGCCGAGGACCGACAGGGCCGCGTGCTGACAGGGCTCTGTGGGCGGGGTTGTGGCAAGGTCGAGGGTGGTGCGCCAGTGTGGCTCGAGGGCGGTGTCGGTGCTGGTGCCGTAGCGGGTGAGGAGGGTGAGTGCTGCTGTGCGCAGCTGGTGCCAGGGGTGTTCTGTGATTAGGGTCCAGAGGGTGGCGTCGAGGAGGGCGGCTTCGCACGGGGTTAGGTCTAGCTGGCGGGGTGAGGAGAGGAGGTGGGAGGTGGTTGAGAGGGCGGCTTCTTCGTCGGCGCTGGAGAGGAGGGTTAGCAGTTCGGTGATGCCTGTCGGGGTGGGGTGGTGGAGTGCTTTGGTGACCATGAAGGCGGTCAGGTGCGTTTTGAAGAGCGTGCGGCCGACGATGCCGGCGTTGTTGATCTCGGCGAGTGCTATTTCCGCAGTGCTAGCGTAGCTCAAAACTTTTCCGTGGAGAGCTGGGAGTATGTTAGTATATCGATCGCAGACCAAACAGGGTCAATGATAATAAGGCCGGTAATGATCAAAACGCAGGTTTTAGGGGCTACACACCATGACCCTCCACCAGCGCGCCAGTCGCCAATCCATGATCCGTGATGATCTGCAAACACACAGCCTTGATCACCGCACACCGATTCGCGACCACCAACGCCTCAAAGACTGCGTCCATCGCCGCCCAAACAGCGGTCAAATCCTCCCCCCTGCGCGCCTTCCTCTCCAGCAGTACCCGCACGGCACACAGCTGCCCATGGGCCCCATTCATGCCCATCCTTTGACTCCCCGCCTCGCGCAAGAGCTGTTCTATAACACAGCGCCACTCAGGCCCGCCAACAAGGCTCGCGTACGCCCTTGCCGCCATCTCACGCACCTTCCACACCCGACACCCCATCGCCACCCTCACGCAGCCAACAAACTCCGCCATCTCCCCCTCAAACCCATCACTATACTCCAACCTTGCCACCAGCGACAGCGCCGGATACACCATCTCCACCAGCCCCCCTGCCCCCCCATCTCCACCACCATCCAGCGCCTCCACATTCCCCTTCAACCCCCCCAACAACACCCTCTCCGCACTCGGATACCGTCCAAAGAACCCACGCGTATCAAACGCAGACCGATCCTCATTCCTGCTCCGCCGGATGCCAAACAGCCGGTTCAGCAGCGCCGTGAACAGCATAATCCCACAGTTGCGCAGCGCCCAGATCGGCGCCGCAAAGCAGCCGACGGCGAGCGCAAGCGCGGCGCCGATGTGTGCCGACATGGCGGCCGACAGCCGCGCGTCCGTGAAGAGGTGCTTGATGCAGTTGAGCGCGTGCACCTGCGGGAGGTCGATCTTGTCGCCGTCGCGCGACGGTGGCGCGGGCCGCGCGGCGATGGAGGCGAGGTGCGCGAAGGTGGACTGTAGGAGGGGGCGGGTCGGGTCGCGCTCGGAGGACAGGACTGCGATGAGGAGGTAGGGGAGACCGGCGGAGCGGCGGGTGATCTTGGAGGAGGAGGTTGTGATGAGGTGGAGGTTTGAGGCGAGCCATTGGGCGGGGAGGGGGTGGAGGGTGGCGTCCGGGGAGGTAATGCAGGTGGTGCAGAGGGTGGTGAAGGAGGGGGAGACGGCGGAGAAGGCGCCGCGGTGGCGGATGTGGCTGAGTTGGGAGAGGAGGAGGGCGCCGGCGGGGGGGAAGTCGGTGGCGCGGAGGAGGGAGATGGTGGGGGTGGTGGGGTTGTAGGGGGCGTGGGAGAGGAGGGTGGCGAGGAGGGAGCTGTGGGGGTGTTAGTTAGTGGGTGTTTGTGGTTCTGGGGGAGGGGCGGGAGATGGTGGGGTGGGATGGACATTGAGGGTTGTGAACAGGGCCAATGATCTGGTCGCAAGAAATGGGGAAGGGGCGGAGTGATATCTCATGATGCACGCAAAGAGGGGTAATGATCACACGCGCCACAAAAGCCCACCACCACACAACCATTCATAAAACGCACACCAGCCAAAAAGGGGTGCCAAAAACCAAAACCAAAAACGCAAAGAAAAAGAAGAAGGGGCCCAACAAACCTCGCCTCCTTCACGGCCCTCCACGAATAGCTCATCACCGTCTGCCCATTCACCTCCTCATCCTCCTCCCCCTCCTCCCCGACACCCAGCACACACCCCTCAGGGCTATCCACGCACAGCACGCCCCTCACCAGCGCCCACACCTCCCCACACACGCTCAACACCCTCTCCACCACGCCCCTCCCCCCAACACCCCTCTCCCACGCCCCGCGCCGCTCAAACACCATCCTCAACCCCGCCAGCAACCCATGCACCGGCCGCCCCCTCACCGCAGCACTAAAGTCCCGCCGCGCAACACCAAGACACTCCTCCAGCATGCCCAGCACCCTCTCCACCACCACCTCTCCCCCCTCCCCCTCCTCGCCAGCCTCAAACAGCAACACAACAACCCTCGCAACACCATCCGCGTCCCTCTCCCGCCCCGTCGCATTCATCCGCTGCACGCCGGCGGCGAACAGTGCCTCCAAGGCGCCGTGGTCGGGCGGCGGCGCGAGCAGCAGCACGTCGGCCGCCATGGCGCGCACGTCGTCGAACGGGTTGAAGAGTGCGTCTGACAGCGCGCGGCGCATCGCGGGCGTGAAGATTGTTACTGCGGTCGTTATTGCCGGCGGCCAGTTTAGGTGCTTCTTTGGGTCTGGTGGCGTGGTAGAGGCGGAGGAAGAGCCAAGGCCCGAGAGCAGCAGTGTAGTGAGCAGCTTTAGCGCCGTTGTGGTGCGCTGGTATGACGCTGACGGCGCAAGCTGCGTGGTTAGGTGGTGGACGTACCATTGTACGAAGTGCTTTATCTCTTTTATTTTTGCGGTTAGGGTAGTGGCGGCGGAGGGGTGTGCGGGGAGGCTGGACGTGGACTGCTTGGTGATGTGGTATGACGATGCCGCGAGGCGCTCGAGCAGCGTGCGGATGGCCTGGGTGGTGAGGTTGCGGACCTCGGCGTCGGTCTCGGTGTGCAGGTGGGGCAGGGCGGACTTGATGGCTGCCAGGGCGGAGGACGGGAGCGGGGTTGTGGGGGAGGGGGAGTGTGTTAGAAGCGTGAATGCGGCGAGGCGCAGGTGCGGGTGTGGGTGTGAGAGGAGCGGGGTGGTGAAGGATGCGGGGACGGTGATCTTTGAGGATTCTGGTAGCGGGGTGGTTAGCTGTAATTCGTGAAGTTGAGATTTAGGGGGGGGGGGGGTACTTTGGTTCTTTTTGGCCCCTTCTGTGGCTTCGGCGTCGGTTTCTTCAGAAACATACCCCAGGTCCTTCCCCACCTTCAGACAGCACAGCAAACTCATCAACTCCCTCCCCTCGCCATCCTCGCCCTCAACCTCCATCACCACCACACTCCCCTCCTCCTCCCGGCCACAAAACCGCGCCAACCCCAGCCCCTCCACAAACCCCCTAAACCCCGCAGGCGAAAGCCTAAACAGCCCCGGAAGCACATACGTCTGCACATTCCCCCTCAGCGCCTCCACGCCCATCGCCCACTCCAACGGCGCCCTCCACTCGTTCACCCAAGTCTCCTCATCATCACCACTCCCACCCGCCGCCGTAGCCATCTCACTCCTCCGCGCCCCCAGCAGCGCCACAACCGCCTTCCCAATCACCGGCGCCACCGTCCGGTCCCCCACACCGCCCAACAACACCTTCACCAACCCCCCATCCCAATCTCTACCACCGCCCAACCCTACCACAAACTCACCGCTCACCAGCCGCCTCCGTAGCAGCGTCTCAAGCACAAAGTACCCCACCTTCCTGCCCCTCCCCTCGCCCGCGGCAGCCAGCAGCTGCGTCGCCAGCTGCTGCGCAAACAGTTCCGGGGTGGGGTGCGCGGCGAGGATGTTGCCAAGAAGGTCCTTGAGCGCTTTCGACAGCGCCGACTGCGCGTCGTCGAAGTATGCTATCACGACTGCTGCTGCTTTGTGCGGCCATTGCTCTGATGATGGTGATGGTGGATGTGCAGGGAGGGGGAGGAAGGGCGGTGTGCGTGTGCGGATGAGGTAGGTGCTGAGGACGTCGCAGATGAGGGCGCGGTGGGGCTGCGTGAGGGTTGGTGTTTGCGCGGTTTGTAGGAGTGTGCTGAAGATGTTGGTATCGGTATTGGTATTGGTATCGGGGGTGCTGTGGAGGAAGGGAGGGAGGTGGTTGTTAGTTTTATTTTCTATTTTCTATTTTTTTGTGGGAGTGAGAGAGGGGTTGTGGGGATTGGGGGGTAATGATGTACTTGACGTCTTTTCCAGCTTCTGTGTCTGTGCTTGTGGCTGCTGGCTGTGGCTTCTTAATCTTGATCAGCACGGCGCGCACACTCCTCAGCACGTCTTCACTCAGCGGTGCGTCCTGTGGCTGCTGGTGGTTCTCTATCAGCTCTCTCAGAGCCTTTGTCGTTTCTGCTGCTGCCATCGAAGAATTGCTCGTTCTGCTGCTGTCTGTTGTGTCTGGCTGGCTGGCGGGGTGAAGCTGCTCTTTGGTGGGGCGTGCAGAGAGAGAGCAGGGTAACAGAGCCGCATTGCTTGGCGGCTGTTTCCGGGTGAAGGGATTTTTTTTTTTCTCTTTCGCCCCGAACCCCGACCCCGAGCACAACGACGAAGCAGCTGGCCGAGATCAAGGACGACGAACGACGAACGAGAAGAAGAAGAAGAAGAAGGGTCTGTTTATCGATCACCCCCCCCCCCCCCACATCTCCATCGCCACACACCTCCAATTATCATCATCACCACCACCACTCACTCACTTGCAATACGAGATATCTATAATAGCCACACCCACTCTCTCTTTGGCAGGCAGATAAGCCAGCTAAAAAATAAAATAAAAAAGGAACACTCAATTCCATATCTACATCTAATACACCACCACGAGCACAATGGCATCAATCTGGGACGCCATCACCGGCCGCAAATCCACCCCCGCGCCCGCCCACTCATCCTCCTCCAGCACCTCCCACCCCTCAGACTCCGGCGACATCGCGCCCACCACCTCCTTCACCAGCTCCCCCGCCTCCGCCGCCCCCACCTTCGACCCCAGCACCTCCAGCGACGTCTCCTCCTTCCTCACCCCCGCCCTCGATCCCACCCTCCTGCACCCCCTTGCCGGCCTCTCATCAACCCTCTCCTACCTGGACCTCGACGAGACCGCCCTCTCACCGCTCTCCGCGTCTGCCCTCCCCTCCCGTGGCTGGTCCGACGACCTCTGCTACGGCACGGGCACAGTCTACCTCCTCGGCCTGTCCGCTGGTGGCATGTGGGGACTCATGGAGGGGCTCAAGAAGGCGCCTCCTGCCGCGCCTCCGAGGTTGAAGCTCAACTATGTGCTCAATGGCATGACGCGGCGTGGGCCGTTCCTCGGAAACTCGGGGGGCGTGCTGGCCCTGGTGTATAATGGCATCAACTCGGTGATCGGAAATGTTAGGGGCAAGCATGATACGGCGAATAGTGTGCTGGCCGGGGTGCTGAGTGGGGCCGTGTTTAAGAGTACGAGAGGGCTGAAGCCGATGGCGTGGAGTGCGATGATGGTGGGGACTGCGGCGGGGGTGTGGAGTGTGGGGAGTAAGGCGCTTTTGTAAAGCAGGGGGAGGAAGGGGGGGATAAAAGGAAGAGGGGGGATAGATAAAATGAATAGTGGGCCCTAATGGCGGACCCGGTTACTGTAGTCTTTGTGTGTTTTTTTCTTTTTCTTTTTCTCTCTTTTTTTTTTTTTTTTTTTGTAGGCTCTGGATCGACTGGCTCTGGTGGGCTCTGGTGGGCTCGGTAAGCAGGTAGTTAGTAAAACGGGTACCTGTGGCTCTTCGGGGTGGGTTCATAATCTGTTCTTACCATCCTTTCCTACCTACCATCGATTGTCCTATCCTATCCTATCCCATCTTGTCCTGTCCGGTATCCTGTGTGCTATGTATGTTGGTTAGTCGGTTGTTGGTCGTCACATCTCTCCTCTTTCCTTCATATTTTTCTCTTCATTTTCCTTTTTTTTTCTCTTCCTCATGGGGTTACTACTAGACAGTGCGTCGGGGCGTTATCAATAGTTTCCTTGTACATGTCCTTCTTTCATTGCCATTACTTGCAGAGAGCTAGAGAGAAATGGGGTACAAAATAAACGCTCACACAAATGTATATATATGGTAGTTGCAGCAAGCGAAATTCAACCGACGTCGATCATGGATATCAATGGTCGGTTTCAGGCTGCTGGTGAGCGAGGTTTGTGTTATCTGATTATGAGGTCTAGTATAGAGGCCTAGGCTATATTGCTCTTAATTCTCGGGTGGATGAGGATGATGATTGGATCAAGTCGGTGCATGCCGCAGCTTAACTTTATAGCATCTCAAAACTAACAGATATATGTACTTGACCGGTCACAACCACCTAGCCGTTGTAACGTGTCTTAACACCTATTCCACTAAACTACCCCTCATCGATGTTCGTGTCATAGGGTATCACTCGTTGTTCTTCAAGCCATCAGGATAAGGATAACACATCGCCAAGCTTAGTAGCGTACGTACGTACGAGCCCCCCATAGAGGTAACAGCAGCAAAGGAATCAATGTGAACATGGGGTTGGACGTGGCCCAGCGGTATAGAGCTCACACTCTATATCGAACTCGTGAGCGTTCAACCCCGCTCCGGACCGGACGTAGAAAGATGTAGCAACCGAGGCTTAGGCGGTGTTGTGAACTTTTTGTTCTTCTTTTGTATAACTTATTGATGTCGAGCGGGTGTTTTTTTATTTTTTTATTTTTTAATTCATTAATTGCATGCAACCCCTACGGGACGGTGAGGCTGGATTGGGGGTCTCTAAGCTTTCGGATTTTCTCTACATATATTTATCTTATACTTAGCACCAAGAGAGCGGATAAGGGGAGAAACCCTAGTATGTAAGTACTCGTAGCTAGTTGGTATTTAGATACATGTAGTGGACGCCAACCACTGGCTTGCTATGTGCTTACGATGACCGAGGCAAAGTCCGCCGCGATCCATGGCCAAGGATAAATCGATACTCGAGATAAGGTGGGGAGGAGGGGGGGGGGTCTCGGCATAGTACTGTACCTACATGTACATACTTGTAGTGAGGTACACCCGTGTCTAAGTAATTCCCGGAGCCCCCAAATAGCAACGGGGTCAAAGTAGTGTTTCTTCACAAAGAATTTTGGAATATCCTTAATCTACACACTCTCTCTATATGTAGTTATCCTACTCAGTCTTGTATAAAAGTTTACTCTGATCGTGGTAAATTCAGTCGTGAGAGTCCCGTTGCCATGGTGGGGGACTCCGGGAACTATCTAGACACGGGTGTACTTGACATCATCATCTCAAGTAAGTACAGGTATTTTATGTGATAGAACACTGCATACATGTCTCATGCATGTTTAATGAAAGAGCAAATTAAATGTAATGGAGAGAGGCGGGGGAAGAGGACGGGGGCCTATAGTAAGACACGATACTTACATGTAGTAATAGGATGGGTGATTCCATTACAAAGGAGGATAAAAGTCTACTCTAGTATCAATTTATATATACATACAAAGGTCTAGGTGACACGTCTACATGTAGTTATATAAGCCTTGACTTCTAACAAAGGTATGGCTGGAAGTTCCCCCCTCGCCGGATAGGATCTTAGCAAGTTAATAAGTACTTAAGGGTATAGAATAGTTCAACTTCGCGAGTTCTAGACAGACATCAACAACTACAGGCCGAGTCTCGGCGTGCTTATACGACCAAGCACTACACCATAAGTAGCTACCGGGGCCTGTCTGCAACAAGGGTGACCTTTTATTTCCAACGCGTACATAAGTAGCCACTACATGTAATTACACTCGCCAGGAATACTAAAGCACTCTACTACTTCCCAGAAAATGGCAAAGCAGTGGCAAATACTCTATGTAGTCCCAATCATAGAAGTTCCTGCGCAGCGAAAGAGAACTACCCCAACACCTCCTTCACCCCACACTTCCGCCCCCCACCGGCCACGAATGGCCATCATAAAGAAACCCTGCATTCACAGACTATCACTCGACCAGTCTTGGCATTCATGGGATTTGAGTTTCTGGCGGAGTGGAAGACGCTTTTCGTCGTCCCAGTTAACACACCTGCTTCTGAGGACTTGCGAATGTTTTGGCCTGAGATTCTAGATGCCTGTGAGTAAGTGGGCTGGCGTGTTGGAAGCCGTACAGGGCGCGTAGGGTGTAGAGTTTTTTTTTTTTTTTTTTTTTTTTTGGTTTAATTCATTAATTGGATGCAGACCTTAGTCTATGCGTGGGGTGTAGAGTGTCCCAGCACACGGTGGGTACTTGTACTTTGCTATACGTGTGTAACACTTGTATGTTAGGCCCCGCTTGGCAGCTTAAGGCATTGAAATAGACATATCCAAAGGGCCACCTATGTGGAGAGGACAAGTTGCTCTCTAGAACATTGCAGTGGGTTACCTGCCGTTTGGTAATTTAAGTTAAGTTGACCGAATGTGGCTGGGCTGGAGTGGAACGTATCGTTTCAAAGCTGCTTTTTTTTGTTTCAGACTTTGATTGAGCGAATCGACTAGACAGAATGGCTTGCTAAACATTCCAAACTTTCCCAATAAGTTCACGATTCCCCACCCTAAAAAGTTTAACAAACCGACCCCGTTGCCAAACGGGCCTAGTGTAGAGCCCATCCGCATCCGGCCCCAGGCCATGCTGATAAGGATAACACCACGAAATCGCCAAGCTTAGCGTACGTACGTACGAGCCCCCCATACAGCTAAAAGCAGTAAAGGAATCAATGTGAACATGGGGTTGGATGTGGCCCAGCGGTATAGAGCTCACACTCTATACCGAACTCGTGAGCGTTCAACCCCCCTTCCGGACGTAGAAAGATGTAACAACCGAGGCCTATAGGCGGTGTTGTGAACTTTTTGCTCCTTTTTTGTCTTGTTTTGTAAATTAATGTCGAGCGGGTTTTTTTTTTATATTATATATATATATTTTTTTTAATTTATTTAATTCATTAATTGCATGCAACCCCTACGGGACGGACGTGGAGGCTGGAGTGGGAGGTGAGTGATTATCTTTAAGCTTTCAGATTTTCTCTACAAGTACATACATGTAATTATTATCTAGAAATAAACCTTTAATATCAAATAATCATGGTCTGGACTAAGGATTATTCATTCAAGAGCTTATTAAAGCAATTAGTCAGAAAATAAGCATTACCAACTACATAACGATTATTTAATGATTATTTGAGCCTTATATAACGATTATTTTTTTACCTACACACTTAAAGCAGGGGTCGGGACGGGTACTTCTATAATCCTGATATTAGGCTTATTTGAGATTAAGATTTAAGTTCCTTCCAAACCTATCATTTTTTAAGGCCTTAATAAAACGAAGGCTTATGATATGTGATAAGGCTTAATTTGACACTATATACATCGATGGCC